TGTGATCTCTGTGTGTGGGATGAGGTAGCTCAAGCTATCCTCACCCCGTTCAGTACATCGTGTTCATACATACATAGACACACATCACAAGCAATAAACGTATTACCAAACATTCTGAGAGTCTCCGCAGTCTCCGTGGTGTAGTGGTAAGACACTCGCCTGGCGTTCCGCGAGCGCTATGTCATGGGTTCGTATCCTGGCCGGGGAGGATTTAATGGGCGCAATTCCTTAACTGTAGCCTCTGTTTAACGCAACAGTAAAATGTGTACTTGGATGAAAAAACGATTCTTCGCGGCCGGGGATCGTATTCCAGGGACCATAGGATTAAGGACTTGCCCGAAACGCTACGCGTACTAGTGGCTCTACAAGAATGTAACATTATGTATATATCTCAAAAAAATATATATATCTCATATATATATAAAATATATATATATGAGATATATATATATATATATATAAAATATAAAAATATAGATATATAAAATATATATAAAATATAGATATATAAAATATATATATATATATATATATATATATTGTATATATCAAAAAAAAAATATAAAAAAAAAAACATATACATATCCTGGGGACCTTGATATAAGCCTAACACTTGCTGCCTATTAACCCCCACACAATGTATAATTATTATTATTATTTTCATTTTACTTCATTCTCTTTCCTTCATTCTGATAATTTATATGGTCTTTAAAAAAAAAAACACAAAGGTCTGACATTAGTAAACTTGAATGAAAATTTGACTCATATTGATCCTTCCTAAGGATTTTTTTTCTGCCACAGACGTGGCCAGACATTTACAACGCTAACCAGCATATATACATTTTATTCTTGAGAACTCTCAAGAGATCAGCAAGGTACGGTTGTACAGTATATATATATATATATATACGTAAGCAATAGCAACAAAGTTTGTTTTGTAATTCAACGTTGCTGCTGCTTGACTTAGCTACAATCATCAATTCTTAATTTTTAATTATAAGAGAAATACAAAAAAAGAAGGGAAGGAAACTATGAGGAGGGAGCGCCAAGTCATTACGACTATATAGCACTTGGAAGGGATCAGGATAAGGATTGGGGATGGGACGGGGGGAAAGGAATGGTGCCCAACCACTTGGTCGGTCGGGGATTGAACGCCGACCTGCACGAAGCGAGACCGTCGCTCTACCGTTCAACGTGTCGGGAAGAAATGCAAATTTACTACGAGACCCTTATCATGCCCCCCAGTTCCTGTCCATAGAGTTTGCCCCTGGAGTGCTCAGGATTGGGAGATCCGTCACCTGTAGCCACCTGCCACAGGTAACGGTAACCCAACCTGATCCTGGCAACCACTGTGTCGCACAGTCTGGTCCACGTTCTGTCCTGACCATATATAGACAGTTGTCAACAACGAAACGCTTCAAAATGTGAATAAACTTGTAGTTATTTAAACTACAATTTGTTTTAAAACAAATATATGTCCACAAAGCATTTTGGAGAGGTCAAAATGCTCTTATCAATCTAATATGGCGTCGGAGTGACGTCACGACGCCCTTATTTGGCGTCTCATTGTCGAGGTTCTGCCCGCCAAACACACACCGAAACTACGACGTTGGTACAACGTTCGAGCAAGTTTTAATACCTCCTAACCAGTTATAACAACCAATATATCAAGTTGTAACAACGTTCTAATACGTCATAAACACGTTAAGCCAAGATGTAACAACTTTATTACAAGTTGTAACAAGCTGAAAATAGAGATAGTTACAGTTTGTGTTTCCAGGGTGCTAGGCTGGCGACTGCCCTTTCTCAAGGTGCAACCCACAACAAGTACCTATTTACTGCTAGGTGAGCAGAGGCTACAGGAGAAAGTAAGGTGTCCAGACGTCTGCGTCCCGCGCGGGAATCGAACCCGAGACCTTTCGGTTGTTGAGCTGATTGCGTTTCAAGTTTACCCCAGACATTCAGCTCATTTTAACTCAACCTTATCATGTCTAACCCTAATCAGGCTCTTAAAGAGACATTAGGTTAATTACGGACCTTTTTAACCATATAGGTAGATACGCAAGGTAGATACACATGGTAGATACGCAAGGTATGTACGCAAGGTAGATACGCAAGGTATGTACGCAAGGTAGATACACAAGGTAGATACACAAGGTATGTACGCAAGGTAGATATGCAAGGTATGTATGCAAGGTAGATACACAAGGTAGATATGCAAGGTAGATTGTAACACCACTATAATGGCAAACTAACCACTATAATGGAACACCAACTAATAATGTAACTGTACTTATCCTGAGTAACACTTCCCATCGGTTGCACTTGGTAACACTGTTATTGAACACTGTAATATGAGAAAACACAACACCTTCGGCGGCTCACTATCTCATTACACTGCCTGTTTAACCGAGTTCTGTCTATGGAACACACAAAAATTATATGTATATATATTATATGTATAGTCAGCATTGTATAAATGAATGACCGTTATATACATTACACTAACGTGTCTAACCCAGGTCAGTGTTAGACAAAAAAGATCAAATTAACCCATGTTTACTTAACAATAGTTGGCGACCTGGTTGTAAGCCGAAGAGCGGGTCGTGTTCTAGGAAAACTTAGTTGGATAATGGTTAAAATGAGCTACGAGAAGGGAAAGCTCTACGCCTGCTGACAGGAGTAAAGATAAAACAATTCTGTGATTGAACAGCATTTACAAGGGGCGGTCATTAGTTCAGTTACGAGATTATTAATCATCATAAAAGAACAATTCCCAGTAAACTGCGACATAACGTATTGCGTTACTTAAAAAATAATAGAATTTGGTTTACCATAACTGCTAGCGAGGGGAAGAGACGTATTGTGGGGGTATAGAAATGGCCTAAGCTACTTTATCCTTTTGAGATGTATTTTCTTGTCTCAATAAACGTACTTGAACTTGAGACGTATTGTGCACTTCTCATGGCGTGAGTGAAGGCGCCACCACCACCAGAGCCCATACGGTAGCTAGGCTACAGGGGCCAGATTCACGAAAGCACTTACGCAACTGCTTACGAACGTGTACAGCTTTCCTCAATCTTTGACGGCTTTGGTTACATTTATTAAACAGTTTACAAGCACGAAAACTTCCCATTCAACTGTTGATATTGTTATAAACAGCCTCCTGGTGCTTCGGAGCTCATTAACTGTTTAATAATTGGAAACAAAGTCTCCAAAGATTGAGAAAAGATATACAGGTTCGTAAGTGCTTTCGTGAATCTAGCCCCAGGACAGCTCAACAAGTGGAACAAAAAGAAAGTCGCGGAAGCCACCTCCATCCACAACTGTCGCCACCCGTACACAAGTGAAGCCAAGCCCCGGGCCAGGCTTGAGGGAGCAGAAGAACTCACAGAACGCCATCCAGGTACAATCCAGGTGCTGCAAGGGCAGATCCGACAAAGAATTCCAACGTAAGAATAGATACAGTTTAACGCAACTGAAAGGACACGGTCAAAAGGTGTAATTACCTAAGTGTAGTTACAGGATGAGAGCTACGCTCGTGGTGTCCCGTCTCCCCAGAAAAGGTGGTGGCATAAATATTTTTTATGCCCCAAAGGTGGGGCATAAATAGATAGGCCTCGCTTCCTTGAGTGACTGATAGGTAATCAGTGATAGGTTAGCACGTAGCCCACTCAGTTGATGGGTCCCAAGTACTCAGACTAGGCGGGTCTGGCACGCAGCCTACTCAGTTGATGGGTCCAGGTACTCAGACTAGGCGGGACTGCCCTCTGCTTCACACCATTACCCACAAGAGCAACAAAAAACTGATTGCACGCTGTTCAAGTTATGGGATACTTACGTAAATTGATGTACAGTATAAAATTGTAGAAGTTCTTTGAGGTATATATTGTTTAATGTATAGCTGTATCATGTTCTTATAATATTCTTTGTATAAAGTAAATTACAGTACGATATTATTTTATTGCTGATAATCCCCTATCCCCATCTTACGTGAACCAGATAATACCGCAAAATTAGTGATAAAGTAATGAGCACAGGAAAGCCTCTTGCTATAGAGAATTAGTTGCATTTTTTGACTCAAATGGACTTAACAATGGGGCGGGGTGGCGAACCATTCTGCCCTGTTTCTCGGGATTAAAGCCTAACAAAACAAATCCAATTCTTTTATCCATTCTCTGTGGGTAAATTTTGTGATGTGTTTCAACTAGTAGGGTATAGGCTTAAGATAAGCTACGGGTTCCACTAAATGCTCACAGGATGGGTATAGGGGTCCACTACTGCTCACAGGGTGGGTATAGGGGTCCACTACTGCTCACAGGGTGGGTATAGGGGTCCACTACTGCTCACAGGGTGGGTATGGGGGTCCACTACTGCTCACAGGGTGGGTATGGGGGTCCACTACTGCTCACAGGGTGGGTATGGGGTTCACTACGGCCCACAGGGTGGGTATGGGGGTCCACTACTGCTCACAAGGTGGGTATGGGGGTCCACTACTGCTCACAGGGTGGGTATGGGGGTCCACTACTGCTCACAGGGTGGGTATGGGGTTCACTACTGCCCACAGGGTGGGTATGGGGGTCCACTACTGCTCACAAGGTGGGTATGGGGGTCCACTACTGCTCACAAGGTGGGTATGGGGGTCCACTACTGCTCACAGGGTGGGTATGGGGTTCACTACGGCCCACAGGGTGGGTATGGGGCTCACTACGGCCCACAGGGTGGGTATGGGGTCCACTACCGCTCACAGGGTGGGTATGGGGTCCACTACCGCTCACAGGGTGGGTATGGGGTCCACTACCGCACACAGGGTTGAGTATGGGGTCCACTACCGCTCTCAGGGTGGGTATGGGGTACACTACGGCTCACAGGGTGGGTATGGGGTCCACCACCGCTCACAGGGCCTGAGTATGGGGTCCACCACCACTCGCAGGACGGGGTATTGCATGCATAATAAATGAAATAACCTTAAAAACTAGACCATCAAAATTCCGTTTCAGGAGATTATCTTGGAGCGGTCGTTGCCAGAGGAGAAGTTGGGCCTGACACTCTACTACAGTAACGCCCCTGCGCCCCCGCCCACACACATGGCCGACCAAGACGAGGGTGTGGGCGTGGCCGAAGACGAGGGCCTGAGCGGCGACGACTACAAGGGCGTCGTCACCGAAGTCCTAATATCCCAGATCGAGCACGGGACCGTGGCCAGTAAAGATGGCCGCCTCAGAATTGGAGACCAGATTTTGCAAGTGAGCTAACAGAGATTTTGATAATTGTGTGATGACCCTTCAATAGATCTTTGGAGTTGTTAATATATATATTTAAAAAAAAAATTTGGTGCTGGATTGGCTAGTTATACAGTTTATCGAACTCGTACTTTTACACTTCAAACGTCTAGTTCGATCAAATCATCAGGGCAAATATTGGGATCTTTGACAAACCGACGGCTTCCTGTCCTTGTTATACCATGAGATATATTGTATACTGTACGAAGTAAATGAGATATATAGTATTGTATACTGTACCGTGTAAACTACACGATATTTATTTATTTATTTATTTATGCATATACAAGAATGTACATAAGGAATGTGAGGATACAATTATGGTAATTACAGTCTTGTAAAGCCACTAGCACGCGCAGCGTTTCGGGCAGGTCCTTAATCTAAGAAAATTTTAAGGAGGATACAATACAAACTTTTGCCTTAGAATTTGCACAAAGAAAACTGAATCAAGTGTTTTACATGAATATATATATATATATATATATATATATATATATATATATATATATATATATATATATATATATATATATATATATATATATATATATATATGACTACTGACATTTAACATCTCTCCATGACATTTTGTCATTCTTTACTCTTATCTATTCTCCTAACTCCACAAATGCTTCTTAAGACTATTAACACATGCCACTGAAGAGTATCCTGGGGGAACACATGCCACTGAATAGTATCCTGGGGAACACATGCCACTGAATAGTATCATAGGGAACACATGCCACTGAAGAGTATCCTGGGGGAACACATGCCACTGAAGAGTATCCTGGGGGAACACATGCCACTGAATAGTATCAGAGAGAACACATGCCACTGAATAGTATCATAGGGAACACATGCCACTGAATAGTATCCTGGGGAACACATGCCACTGAAGAGTATCCTGGGGAACACATGCCACTGAAGAGTATCCTGGGGGAACACATGCCACTGAATAGTATCATAGGGAACACATGCCACTGAATAGTATCCTGGGGAACACATGCCACTGAATAGTATCATAGGGAACACATGCCACTGAATAGTATCCTGGGGAACACATGCCACTGAATAGTATCATAGGGAACACATGCCACTGAATAGTATCCTGGGGAACACATGCCACTGAATAGTATCATAGGGAACATACATCACAGCTCTAAGATCTGTACTTTATAATGTGCTGCATTTTCAGATCAATGGTGTAGAGCTCACCACACGGGCACAAACAGAAGAACTCTTCGCTGGGTGTGGAACCAGAGTGATTCTGCTTGTGTCCAGAACTCAGTACTATGTAAGTTTTATTACTGGAAAGTGTTCTTCTAATCCAGTATTGTATTATTTACCAGTGTTTTAACTTCTCATAAAAAAATATTTTTTCCATGGTTTAACTTTCATGAGCAAAAAGCTGTGCCCTTTCGCAAAGATTATTTTTAATGAAGAATTACAGTTAATTTTATAATTATAAATGCTCTTTGTCAGTTAAAGTGAATACTAGTATTCACTGGTGTACCACAAAGTCTTGCTAAAAGCTAAATTTTGCAATATAATATTTTCTGAATCAGACTTCTTGGCTGCTTCCCAATGAAAATGCAATGTTTTATCCATAGACACAAGACATTGCCCATAGTGGGGAAAGGAAGAAACTGGAGGTTACTCAATCCAGCCCAGTATGACAATCTATTAAACTCAATAGTTCTTTACACCCTTTACACATTATTACACCCTTAACACCCACCCTTTACACACTGTTACATATGCCGAGACCTCTGCGGACTCCTGGTTCAGTCTTGAGGGTGAGCAGACACCTTGATACCTGCTCCACCTGAGGACTGCCTGACAATATGGCACATTTTTGGACCATTGGATCTCGATGCTGCTATCAGGCATGTGTCAATGACCCAGACCAGTGACCTCTTCAATGACCCAGATTGATACAACACCAGGTGCAGGTATTGCCTGGGGTCACGGAGTAGTGATAGATTTGTCCATTTTCGGGGTGGATCTTGTGCCATACACGGGCTGGTGCCAGTGTATGGCACCAATTTGGCCAAGAGGTGCCGCTGGGAGTTGTCGTGTCTTGGCAGACTCTACACCCCTGTAGTGTAGTGGATGTCTGGCTCATGCTCCACTGGAGTTTACAGGAAAATTTGTGTTGAATGTTTGCCTGACTACTGTTAGGCCGCAGTTTTTGTTCAACTTACCAGAGTTACAGGATGACTGACGCTTTATTGTTTTAAGTCACTGGTGTCTATAGTCTTCAGTGGGTTCTCTGGGTGGGGTGCTAGCCCATCGCTCGCCACCCTGCGGGCACTCCATGGGTTGCAAGCCCATCGCTCACCTCCATGGGTTGCGAGCCCATCGCTCGCCACCCTTGGGGCACTCCATGGGTTGCCAAGCATCTGCAGTACAGTTTGTTGATCTGCCATAAGGCACAGTAATCTTGCGACGATTACCTGCTAGGCTTTCGATTTTTTGCATCACAGGGTCACCAAGGCACATGCAACATTAATGCCATCCTTGTCCCTTAATAAACAGCAACCAAGACCTTTGTAAATTACATAAACGTTAATTGGTTTGGCCTAAAAAACGGGATGCTGCACAGTGGATCAATGTTTTCCTGTATGATTTACATGGTATTGTTGTCCCCTTACTGAATCACACGAATCTTAGGGGTCTTCTATGGCCTAACAGGGACCAAAGCCAGGACCTGGCTCCACCCTCCCCACACAGAGGCACAGAGAAAAGGGACTGTTACAATTACCATCAAGAAAACATTGAGAAAGTAAGCAAAACAATACAAACAACTGCAGGGTTCAAAGAATGCAAAGCACTGAAATGGCCAAATGTTGATGCCTGCAAAAGACAACTTCCAGATTTGCCAAATTTAGCAACTTTAGTCTCGGTTCTTGCCAAGTGTGAGCCATCCTTTGGACGCTGTCCTGTGGCAGTCTATAGTGTATTGTAACTAAATTTGCTATTTGTTCCATGAGCTGGTGTTTCAAGCCTCACTTATTGTGTGGACTTTATCTTTTATTTGCACTAAGCTGCATGTTTTTAGGGCAGCCCTTTCCTAAGCACTAGTTTAGAGTTGCCCCTACCCAGACAACAACTGCACTGGTGGGTTTGGAAGTTTCTGCCCCACAGAGGACATCCTATTGCATAGGGTGCCTCACTCTAAGTCTTTGACTTCTCTGCAAGACCCTCTGGCTGGGGGGCATTTAGGGTTTTATTGTTGTGGGGTTGTGGTGGGGTTCATTTGCTTGTCTAAATAGCATGCTGCTGATGACCTTCATAGCCATGTTTATCCTGTAGACTGCATTCTGTGTAAGTTCTTCTGGTGAGCTTTCCCAGTGCCAGGATGTCCTACTTATTCCTTAACTTCTCGTTCTGGCAAGCCTCACAGATCTTTGGTGTGGCTCGTAGTTTGAGCGACAGAGCCCACACTTGCTTATTCGTTAGAGGGTTGTCTGTCACTTTTGCTACAAATCAATGGTCATTTTACAGTCTCCCACTGCTACCTGTCGGGTGAGTATTACTCCTGCCAGTTATTGGTCAGGATCTGCCGGGAAAGGCCTGCTTCCCAGGTCTCTGCCCTTTCTTTGGCTGGTACTTCTGCTGGTTTAAATTACTTTTTGGTGTCCCAGAGGGCCTCTGCTCCGTTTTTTTTTTTATTTTTTTTTTGTGCTCCAAGCCTTCACAGTTCATCTCTTTGATGGTGCTGTGGCAGGACTTATGGTTTGTTTTTGGCAGTTAGTGGTTTTGCAGTTCATGGGCTTTCTATATTGTTAACCAGGTTCTCGGATGACTTTCTTCCTCCATTTCCCTTTCGGTTCAGGGTTGTGGGTGAGGATCTTCAATATTTCCCTTTTTCCCACTATCATGATAGAATACATTTACAAGGTTCTTCCCCATGGTTGGAGGAAATGCTAACAGTTGCCTGGCGATGACAAGTTCTGTTTCTGTACAAACCTTTGCATTTTCAAAAAGGAGTAACCAAGTGGCCAGCTCAGAAAGGAGCCTTTCATTCCACTCAAAGCTCAACTTATGCAAGATACTGTATATAACATTTCAATTTTATTTTAACACGTAATTTGGGATCGACTTGTATCAGATGCCTTAATTCTTTTGGTTAGGTTTAAGTTTCTTGATGATCAGTGATTAATATTTCTTAGGATGAGGATGATCTAGTCGAGGGGGAGGTGCTTGAGGACGTGGTAGAAGAAGATGAAGAGGTCGAACTTCTAGATGCTAACTCAGAGTTCCATACCAGCAGGTTGTTGTAAGTGATTAATGTTCTGTACTTTGATACTGATCTGTACGTTGTAAGAAAGTGTGTGTGTGTGTGTGTATACATGTATGTAACTGTAATTACCTAAGAGTAGTTACAGGATAAGAGCTCCACTTATGGTGTCCCGTCTTCCGGTATTCTTTGTGGTATAACGCTTTGAAACTACTGAAGGTTTTGGCCTCCATCTCCTTCTCACTTATCTTGTTCGAACCGTCCACCACTGTTTCTAAAAGAAAACTTTCAAATATTTTTTGGTACCTTTGTTTCTGTAGCTTGAATCTGTGTCCTCTTGTTCTTGAAGTTGCTGGTTTCAGGAATACCGCTTTGTCAATTTGGTGGATTCCTGTTAGTATTTTGTAAGTAGTGATCATATCACCTCTTTTTCTTCTATCTTCCAGTTTCGGCATGTTTAACAACTCTAGTCTCTCTTCGTAACGCATGTTTATCAGTTCCGGAAGCCATTTTGTAGCATGCTGTTGCACCTTTTCCGGTTTCCTTACGTGCTTCTTGAGATTTGGGCACAATACAAGTGCTGCATATTTAAATTTTAGTCTAAAAAATGTCATGAACAGTTTCTTTAGTATTTCACCCATCCATATACTGTAATTAAAAGCAAATCTGAAGTTGGAAAGCAATGCATATGCTCCTCTAGCGATGTTTTGTGTGTTCTTCTGGTGACAGCTTACTATCCAAAACCACCCCAAAGTCTCGTTCTTTATTCAAGTTTTGTAATTCCTTTCCATATACTGTACAGTAATTTGTAAGTTGTGTGTGTGGTCTATTTTCTCCAAATCCACATTCCATAACATGGCATTTATTCACATTAAGTTCCATTTGCCACTTGATACTCCAAGCACTTATTTTATCTAGATCGATTTGAAGGACATTACAATAGTCTGCACTTCCTATCTTCCCCAGTATCTTAGCATCATCCACAAACATGTTGAAATAATTCTATATTCCTTCTGGTAGATTATTTATGTTGACGATGAATATTACTGGTGCAAGAACTGAATCCTGTGGTACTCCGCTAGTAACACTCCTCCAGTCAGATACATTGTCTCTGATTACTTCCGTGTGTGTGTGTGTGTGTGTGTGTGTGTGTGTGTGTGTGTGTGTGTGTGTGTTTGTGTGTGTGTTTTTACATACATTTGTGATGCAGAAATTTACTTGTATTAATGCATAGAAGCATACAGTATTGATTATATAATGATTGAATTTAACTGGTAATTGTTAAAGATAAAATTCAATAGGATTTCATGTTATATGCAAAATTTATATTTGAATCAAACATTTTCACAACTTTATTCTATGTGTAAAGTAGTTTAGCAAGACTGCTCATAAGTTCTGTACTTTTTCAGGTCACCAGCATTATCAACAAAGAGCAGCACTAGCTTAGAAAAGAAAGTCCCACTTGAAGATGTGGGACACGTAAACACATTGCAGTCGTCCTCATCATCATCATCATGTGAGAGGAAGCCAAGCAAAAAAGTATCGTCAGCATCATCCACTTCATCTCGAGAGTCACAGATGAGAGGCGACACCATAGACAGGGAAATGCTTGCCCTCGATGAAAAGATGGCCGACCTTACCCAGGAATGTGAGCAACTTGAAGCTACTCACAAGTCAACCCAAAGAGAACTCGAGCCTCAGTACAAGGTTTCTCAAGGACAACAGCAGAAAAAAGATACAAAAATCATATCAAGTAGACCACCGGCAAAAACACCTTTACCAACTGGTTCAGAATCTGATCACATCTACGAGTCAATTCCTGATGTGAGTGAATCAGACGAGCCCATATACTGTGTGCCCTATGAGCCAGGACGAACTCGTCGGCGTCACCAGCATGCAACACTCATATCTCATACTAAACAACAGGTACACCAAAAACCAATAATAATGCCATCACAGCAACAACAGCAAAGTAGTGGTCGTGGTACAAGAGGTAGTGGCACTAGCAGTAGCAGTGGGGGAAGTGGACGTGAACGACGTACCGTTGAGAAACAGCAGTCAGTCGAGAGATGGGTGCGTGAAAACCCTCATCCACGATCCCCTACCAACACCAAATCCTCTACCCCCGTCACTAATTCAGTAAAGCGAACTGATGCTCCTCAAGAAGAGCGCGATTCATCCTCTGCTTACAATACTGGTGACTCCACAGGAAGCACACACCGGCCACCCCCAACGCTAGAGTTAAGTTTGGGCCAAGATCCTTCCCTTAGGCAATCTACACTCACCTTGTGTCCACCAACACATGACCAGTCACTACAGGTTAGTAAAAATATAATATGTTGAGCTGCCTTCTAACTTATCAATGTGCAAGTACTGAGTAGCAAAAAATATTAAGAGTTTATTGACCAAACCACACACTAGAAATTGAAGAGACGACGACGTTTTCGTCTGTCCTGGACCATTACCAAGTCGATTGTGAAAACGACTTGATAATGGTCCAGGATGGACGGAAACGTCGTCATCTCTTCAATTTCTAGTGTGTGGTTTGGTGAACATTCTTCAGCCACATTATTGTGACTCATCATCAATATAGTTTCATATTTGCTTGAAGCCTTATAATTTACTACTAATTCCATGCACTTGAATTTTCAGGGCCAGTCTTTTGTATAGTTCATGCGAACAAACAGAAATACAGTACTGTATTTTTATCATTTACTGTATGTAAATACTTGATAATGGCGTCTAACTTTCTTCTTCAGGTTAGTCTAGAATCGGACACATATTCAGCTATCTCTTGTGATAGCTGCAGACGGTGTATGCGTCTACCACCTCTTCATGCCTCTCTACCCCAGAAGACCAGTGGACGAGGCCCTGAATCAGACCATGTCATAAACACAGCCTCCCACCAAGCCCACTCAACCAGTCAAAAGGTGGCACACCCTGATAGCGAGAGCAACCGTAACTATGTCACGTTTCTTCCAGCACAAACAATGTACACCAATGCTGCAAACCTTCAGCAAACTATTTGGCTTCAACAGCAGTTGTTCAGACAGGCACTGAACCGGGAGAGCACGGCACCTTCCACACCTACCACCTCGGCTCGAGGTCTGCCTCCCAGAGCACCTCCCCGCACTCCCCATGATCAACCAGTCAAGATGGAGTGGAAAGTAAGGATTTTTTTTTTTAATTTCATAAGCATTCTTTGTGAGGTTTAGGTAAAATATTATAAAAGCTGGCTCTTCAAACAGTTTAGTAAACATTGGAACACACATTAAACAGTTTACTTAAAAATATTTACAGAATTACAAGAGAAATGGTGAGTGCCAGCTTTACTTTATTCTCAACTGAATCTGGCACCTTGCACCATACTTTGAACATTATAAACACTCGCATGTAAAACTTTCATCTCGATTAACTCTGCAACTTTAACAAACATTTCCTCTTTGCTGTCCATTGGCTCATTATTTCTCAGGTAAACATTTGCCATGCTTCTTGGTCATAACATCTTGGCTGTGGATTATATTCTTGTCTCAGCCCAGAACAAACGGTTATGGAAAATTATGTTGTGCTATTTTTTTCAGAATGTTTGAACACAGGAGAGGCGGACCAATATAAACATTGACACTTTTAGTGAGTGAGAACACTTGGCTGTACAGTCAGCCGTAACCTGTGATATAGTATAGGAATTTTTATTTTTAGATACATGTAATAAACGTTAGGTGTGTTCCTTGATGGGGAGTGGTTAGTACACGGATGTGTACCTGATAGTTCCGTAGTACGCTCCCGGATGACTGAAAGTTCAGTCTGATGATATAACTTTAATGTTTGTTTGAGCACGGTGTGGCCGGCTCTAGAGGACACATGGACTTGGCTAGTGAAGAGCCAAGAGAGTTTAATAGCTAGTTTTTGATGGTAGAGTAGGGACATGTTATTTAGCTATGTCAGTAAGGATAGGATGTATGTTTCCTGATATTGGAGGATTGCTGTCAGTTGACAGCTGAGAAATTTATGAAATATGAACATGTTTATTATGATGTTGGACTATTATTTGTCAAATTTTATTAGTTAGGTTAGCTTTTGTTTGTGGCATGAGTTGAATTGTGGGTTTGGATACTAAACCTCGTGAATTTTAACAAATTAACAAGGTTTACTAAGTGCTTGTGCGGGGGGGTTGTAACAGACTAGGCTGTTGTAAGAATTATCCAGAGTGGTTTATCGACAAAAGAGAATGGGAAGCTGAGCCGCATGGTGACCTGACCCCCAGGGGAATTCGCGGTGGAAATAACCGACGCTTTGTTCATATCTGCGTATAATGAATCATCCTATAGTATTCAGGAATTTAGAGAAAATTAGCCTTTATTCATTTTGCATTAAAATTGTATTGTATAATAGTACTGGATACAATATCAAGAGTATTCTAATTATTGAGTTTAAGTCACCATCAGTGACGTCACGAATCAGATCTAACTTTTAAAGCGGAGTGACCGGCGGTCATAGGTCATCAGGGGTTGACAGGTCTAATATTTCTCAAAGTTTTAATAACCATTTTTGTGATCGGGAACAGCTCTGCCGTTAGATGTTTGTAATTTAATTCAGTAAAATAATTCAACCAGTCTGGATCAATTAAGTACAACAGAGGTTAATTGTTATAACTTAAACCTTGCTAGTAACTGGGTAGAACTTTGACTAGGCGGAAGGATACAATACTCTGTCTGGGGTAGTCCAGACAAGGAAAAAATCAGTGTGGATACGGGAGCAGCTGGGAGAGGTCAAACATCTTACCTCTCCCCAAGACATCTAGCTGGTCGCCCAAGGTATAGTTGCTATGGTTATGTATAGAAATAGTCTTCTCATTTGCCATTCAGGTCAAGTAGGGAGTGTTAAAGTGATAGGGAGTGAACACATTTAGATTTTGTTTTAGTTTTCTTTTAATAAATTAAATTTGTTATTAATTTGCATTTTATTGTTTCCATATGTTTTATGTGTATACTTGTCCTGGTCACGTGGTCCACACGAGGCAGAGTTGCATTGGGCGCCGATTCTAACATCGAATCGGAATTATCATTACCGTGTAATTTATTCCACACTCAAGGTCATCGTTTATAGTGGGGATCAAGCCCCTAGGTTGATTAATTAGCGTGATCGATCCAGACCTCGATCATTGCTCTTGTATTACTGGTCTGGTGGTGGCAGCAGAGGTGACTCTAGGGTTTTGTTCAGAGCTTAGGTCACGTCATACTGGGTGTAGAATCCTAAGTCGGTCAATCGTCTTAGGACCACGTGGCGTGGAGTTGGCTTTGTTAAAAGTTTTGGAGTCCCTTGGTTTAGAAATAAAAGTAAGAATACGGGTAGAGGGAGTAGAAAGAAGGAAGAAAAAGAGAGAGGAACCTAACCCGTGTTACACTGATGCCCCTGTTACCTAGCAGTAAAATAGGTACCTGGGTGTTAGTCAGCTGTCACGGGCTGCTTCCTGGGGGTGGAGGCCTGGTCGAGGACTGGGCCGCGGGGACACTAAAAAGCCCCGAAATCATCTCAAGATAACCCATACAGCTAAACGTGCGAGTTGGAGATCCTGTCTTCACAGTTGACATTTACACCCGTTTCCCTCACATTTGGAAGAAAGTCCATAGGACTGCAGGAAAATTTGTTCCAGACTTGTTGTCTGTCCTTCATCTCCATGATTCCGTTGTGGCAGATCCAGTGATCATCACGAACAAACTGGGTTTGCACTTTTCAGCCATTATCTCCAGTGATCATCTTTCTCTTTGCCTTACTCATTAGTCCTCTTCTTGAATCCAACTCCAAGGACTTTCGCACTCACCTCCACCACCTCTTTAAGGATCTTTTCACACTTTCTGAACTCCAGTTCACCTTGTTCCCCTAGCAAATCTATAGTGGTGGGTTAAGACGGTATTTACAATAAGATGCTTTGTCATCGTCACATGCTCCTTGCCATGTTTGCTGCATATCTATAATCCTATTTGGGTGTCAGCTTCGGTTCCCCTGACAGACTCTAGGTAATTGTTCTCCCATTATGAAACCTGTCTTTAAAACTTTCCCTAAGGATTTCGTATCATTCGGTTCCCCTGACAGACTCTAGGTAATTGTTCTCCCATTATGAAACCTGTCTTTAAAATTTTCCCTAAGGATTTCGTATCATTCGGTTCCCCTGACAGACTCTAGGTAATTGTTCTCCCATTATGAAACCTGTCTTTAAAACTTTCCCTAAGGATTTCGTATCATTCGGTTCCCCTGACAGACTCTAGGTAATTGTTCTCCCATTATGAAACCTGTCTTTAAAATTTTCCCTAAGGATTTCGTATCATTCGGTTCCCCTGACAGACTCTAGGTAATTGTTCTCCCATTATGAAACCTGTCTTTAAAACTTTCCCTAAGGATTTCGTATCATTCGGTTCCCCTGACAGACTCTAGGTAATTGTTCTCCCATTATGAAACCTGTCTTTAAAACTTTCCCTAAGGATTTCGTATCATTCCCAACAATTTGTTGGTGCTGCTTTCTCAAACACACTTTAATATTATGATGAGGTTCCCCCAAGGTGGTGGTCCAAGTGTTACTCTTATTTCTAGTTGCACTGAATGGTCTCCCTTCCTCCCTGACCCATTATTTCCTCGGCCTTCTACATTAACGATCTCGCTCTCTGCTGCCGTGGTGACAATCCCTTTTGCCTCCAGTGTCAGCTCCAGCTAGAGATTGATAATAGGTTGTTCTGGGCCACCAGTCATGGCTTTAAGTTCTCCACATCTAAGACTTGTGTCATGACTTTTACTTTAAAGGTATGTCATCCCTTGTCTCTCCATGTTACTCTTACGTATAGAGATACTGTACTGCCAAACTCTAGGGGTTGATCTTTGACACCCACGAGCCTTGGTCATCCCATGTTGCTCACCTCCAAGTTGAATTCTCTAAGGCCCTTACCTTTCTTGAGATCTTGTCCAATACTTCCTGGGGGCTGATAGGCACACTCTTCTATTTGCACTCCTCTCTTGTTCTAGCTGCCCCACCTATTTCTTGGCTTCTCCCTCGAACCTTTGCCTTCTTGATGCTCTGCACCATACTGGGTTATACCTCAGCTTGGGTGCCTTTCAACCATCCCCCCACCCAGAGCTTGAATGTTGAAACTGGCATCCTGCCTCCAGGACTGCTGTGATCGTTACTGCCTTTGCTGCCTCACACAGTCCCTGTAACATTCTCACTCTTGCTTGAGCTTTGACCACTGTTCCTCAGGAGAACCCTGTTCCCTTGCCTCTTTCCTTTTCTTGCAAGGATGGCTCATTTCCAAGGTTCTCTCTCTCGGATCACATTGGCAACATCTCTCCTCATGTTCTTCCTGCTTTTTTCCCCGTGGAAGATCCCGCTTGTGAAATTTTGCAAAACCCTGACCCACTCGGTGAAAATTTATACTCTGCTACTGTTTTGAAAAACCTTTTCCTTGTACATTTTTCCTCTCACTCACACCCCATTGCTTTGCCCACTGATGGGTCAGTCTGCTGATGGTGTCAGCTACTCCATTGTTTTTCCAGATCAAACCTTTACATGTCACCAACCCCTGAACACTAGCATCTTCACGGCAAAACTTTATACAATTTTGAATGCTATCAGCCACTTCCTCTGCATTAACATTCCTTTGGCATTGTTGTCGACTCATGCAGTACCCATAAGGCTCTGGTGTCTTAACCCTTTGCATCCTGTGGTGGTGGAAATTCAACACTGACTGTTTCTCATCTCTGGCAGATATAAGACGTTGAATTCTTCTGGGTTCCCAGCCATATTGGAATTCCCTTGAATTCTGCTACTAGGGAGGCCATTCATGCTCGTAACATTTCTCGGAAAAGGCATCCCTATATGGATGGGTTTCTACCATGCATTTTTGCTGCAGTGTGTAACCATTATTAGGGTTGTTGGGCTGGCATTACAGGTAATACACTGTATACTCTTGAACATTTCTTTTCCCTTTTGGTCTTGTTCCTGCTGCTGTAATAGGCAACAGGGGAAACAGCTTTGGTCAAGTTGTGTATCTGTCATACCGACCTGACTCATGTTCATTTAATGAAACAAGTGTCCTGCTTTCCTTTTGTCCAAACTGTGTTGTCCCACTTACGGTCGTGCACCTCCTTGTCGAGTGCCCTGATTTTCAGGATGGTCAAGTGCCTTGCTTTCCTAATGTTCTTGGGGGTCATTTGTCCCTCATATGAATCTGTAGTGAATTGTTTACCTTTGATATCATTCACCTTATGTCCTTCTGTTCTTCTATTGGCATCTTGATTGATTTTTAGTGCCTTTTGATTATTTAGCAACAAATTTTTCTACACAATCTTCCCAGCTTGGTGTCTTCTGTTCATAATTACTTAATGAATATTTTACACAAATCATATTTATTACTGTTTCCAACTTTTAATAATTAAAATTGCATAGATTTTCAGTGAGAACTGGTATATAATTTCATTTTTCCATTTGTAAATATTCCTTACCTTCCATCTGAATATCATTAATATACATTTAAAACTTTCCAATATCCTTACACAATCACCAAGTTTCCTAAAATGTTTCACCTAGTCATCAGGTTAGGTGTTTGGAACCCAAAAATATTTTAAGGTTCCTATGGAAAATTTTCAGGAAACACTTGAATTACTTCACTTCACTACAGTGTGTTTTAATATTTAATTTCTCATTTGTCTTCACATTAATTTCTAATATTTTATTTTTTTAAACAGGTCAAAAGGCGACCCGATGGGACTCGCTACATCACACAGCGACCTGTTAGAAACAAGATGTTGAAAGAAAGAGCACTCAAGATAAACGAGGAGCGAGCAGGTCTAACCACAGATGATGATGCCATGTCAGAAATGAAGGTACATTATTGCTATCAACGGTTATCATTTTTGTCTAGTATATAGGTTAGAAATGATTGATACTTGCATAACTCAATTCATATTTAGATTAGTTACTCCACTGGAAGCTTTTGCTTTCATTTGACATTCTTTTTTTTTTATCAGATATGGCTCTAGGCCGTGTTACCCATTTCTGGGGTCAGCATTCATGTGTTGTCTGTATTCCATCTGTGCTGCCATGTCACATTGTCACTTTTTGCCTATATTATTGTGTCTATGCTAGAGAAAGCTTATTAGCAACTGAAGAAAATACCACCAAAGAGGGTGTTGAGTGTACTGATAGTAGATGGGGGTTAGAGTTTTGTTTAGATAATTCAACATTCAACAAAACATTACACGGAGGAAGTTTGTCTTGTGGTTACCCACTGAAAATTTTGAGTTGTTTTACTCCCACAGCCTGGCCTGTAGCCAGCTTTTCCTGGTGATTGCTTGGTTTATAAGGCGGTGTGTCTGTAGCCTACAGGCCCACATAGCAACCAGGCTGATTCTGTAATTCCTTTTGAAACTTTTCCAGTTCTCTTGAAAGCTTCCACTGTTGTTCCAGTGACATTCCTTATATTTGTTGGCAGGAGAATAAAGAGTGTGTCATTAAATTGAAATTGAAATAAGTTTACCGAGATAAAATACACACAAAGGGGTGAGGTAGCTCAAGCTACTCTCACCTCGTTCCGTACATTGTATTCGTACATATATAGACACATCACAAACAATAAACATATTACCGAACATTCTGAGAGATAAGAGTGTGTCATGGACTGCTGTGTTCTCAAATTGTGCTTATGGGACCTTGACTTTTCATTGTATTTATTTATTTTGCACTTTCTTCCATATCTCTCGCTCCAGTATATTTTAATTTTTTCCACTGTTGAAGATATTTCTCATCTTTGTTTCAAAGAGTGCTTACAGTCAGTTCCAATATTTTAAATGCTTGTGTGTGTACAACATTGAAGGGTCTGTATATACTTTCCAGCTCTGCTGTCGCACCTACCCTGAAAGGGAATGATTGCTAAATATTTCATACGAGACCGCATCAGTGTGTGATATGATAATAAATGTAACAAATAATGTTTCATTGTATTCTGGACAGTTTGCTTCTGTATTGAGTTTATCTGTGATTTCCATGTGCTTCCTGCCAAGGAGAAACTGGTAGGAAATTAGGGTTTCACAGGTTTTCTGGGGGCAGCCCCGTCGGCTCCCCCGGAGCTATCCAGGCTGATATGCTAATGTCAGACTTTGGCATCAGTCATGTGTATGAAGTTCTGTGGGCCTACCAGGGACCACAAGCCAGAACCTGGCCCCCTCACAGAGGCACGAGGAGCAATGGCTTATAGAAACCCCTGTGTGGTTTGAAGCATTCTATGGCTGCCATCGACTAGGTTAGGCACACAGAAAGATAGGCGTCCCAAAACAAACCCCCTATTCTGGTGAAAATTGCTACAAAAAGCCAAACAAGAGGAAAGAACTCCCCAAACAGAAACGAGCAAATGAATATGACATCACACGCCGCTGTACTGCCGTCTGCGCAGCTCCCCCCCTCCCTGGGAGGGGAAAGGGGAGCCACAGACCCGCGCGCTGACCATCCACACCCAGTTCTGAGGCTGATGCTATAGGCAACGGCCGTAGCTCTGGCTCCAGTGGTTGTTTCAGCACTGTGCCTTGTGTGTGGTGTCTGTCTTCTAGGTGATGCGCTAGCCGGGAGTTATTCTTCAGTACTCGGGCTGCATGCGCCAAAGGCTCCCTTTCCTAGGTGCCCAGTAAGTACTGCCCTTGGGGCTTAGGGCCATCTTCCACAAGTTCCTTGGGTTCTGCCTCTGCTAGGCCGTTTACTGCTTGGTTTTTGGCCACCCTTTGTGTGCTTGGGTGCTCTGTCTTCCTTGTTCGCCTTAGAGTAGGGAACCAGACATGTCCAGGTAGGACATGTTACCTAACAAACATTCCCTCACCAGTTTGCACTGGTAAGGGGTACAGGGTACTGCACAGCTTGTTTTCACCAATCATAGCAGCCAGCTTTGTTCCACCTGGATACACTGTCCTTTTGCAGGGTTTTCTTTTTCTTTTTGTTTGTCTGCCTGGTGGGGGTCTGCCTTTTTATTGCCCCTGTGTATTGAGTACTCTTCTCTCTTCCGGTGGTACCCCCTGCTTGGTCCCCGTAAGTGTACACGTCCCGGGGGGTTCAGTTCTTAGGAAGCTGTTTGGTAGACTTGGGCACCGGTTAGCAGTACCCTGCCTGGGCTTCCCTGAGCGTGAGTTCCGTCTCAGGACCCTGGGAATATCCCCACTGGTAATTCCCAGGGTCTGATGGATGTGACCTCCCCGAGTCTCCTCCCCTCGCTTTGTGCGAGTTCGAGGGTTGCTCTGCCCCCTTGTCTCAGGGTGACTCTCATTGTTTTTGCCTCTGTCTGCTGCCTGTTGGGTCGGTGGCACCTACGACCCAGAATCCTGTGAGTTTTGTTGCTTGTTTGTGACTCGGTTACCCAGTCTTATGCTGACTATGCGGGTGCAGGTAACACGGGCATTGCACGTTGGGTTCAGGTGGTTGCAACGCGCTAGGTTTTTTGCTCCCTGGAAGCCCCGAGGCTGCCCATTTCAATTGTTGTGCCGGGGCGTGGGGGGTGTTGGTTGCTTCGGTTTTGTTTCTGTCCATGCCCCTTGTCTTTTCCCTGTTGTGGTCTAGTCTGGTCCCCCTCCCCTTCCTCCCTGCATCCTGATCCTCAGCCATCTGTGGGTTTAGGGTCGGGGCAGGGATTCGATGGTCTTGAGACTCTGGCGGTCTCGGGGATTTTCCCTTCTGGGGTAGCGACGGAGGCATTTGATCCTGTTCCTCTAGCCGTGTTGTATGAGTCTGCCAGTGGGCTCCCTTCCTTCGTGTTTATCTGGCTGCCCCGGCTTTTTCTTGTGAGACTGGGGCATTGGAGGACGGCTCGACCCCGGGGCCTGCTGTGGAGGTTCCCGGGGCTTGGGAGGGGCTGACTTGGTGGGGGCCTCGGGCCCGTTTGGACCCTACCGGGGGGTTTTCTACCCTCTGGGCAGGGTTTGCGGTTATGGGGAGTGGGATTTTTTTCCTTTTCCCCCCTTTTTTTGTGGCCCCTTTGGTTCTAGTTTGTTTTCCGAGGCTCTTTCTTGTTGGCATTGGCCTCTGGGGGTTGGGTCGGGGTGCTTCATGCTCTTCTCCGGCACCAAGGTTTTGGCTCTTATCGTTCTCCTGATAGGTTTGTTCGCTTGCAGCTGTCTCCTTCTTTTCTGGCAAAGACTGACAAGGCTGCTTCCCGGAGGGGTCTTTGGGTTTGTTGATGCTTTGTTGGTCTGGCTGGGGGTGCATCATGTGTTGTGTTCAGTTGCAGCGTTTTGCCATTCTTTGCGAGCCACAGTTGCCGTGACCGGGATCACACCTTTGGGTTGTTTTGGTTTCCCTTCTTCCCTGTTCCATGGTGCGTTTCTCTCGGGTCATCCGCGGGGTGGTTCGGTCCTGCCAGCCTGCTGTCTATCCCCGTGCCCACGTCGTTCGTAAGTGGGCTGTGTGTTCCTTCGTTGATGTTCGTGGGCCTTGTTGGGCCTGTGTGGCCTTGAATTTGGGAGTTGCAGTCTTTTGTCTCCGCTTCGCGTTGGGGTGTGCATGACTTCCGCCTCCCGGGTTAGGTCACTCTTGTTTTCGTCTTTAGGTAGGTAGCTGCGAAAAGCTGATGGGGCTCCCCCCTCCCCCAGAAAACCAGTGTTGAATGTAATAAAATAATATTTTCTGGGTTAGACCCTGGAGGCTCCCCGGCAACCCTCCCTCCCTTCCAGTTGGTGTTTTTTTCACGTGTTTTTGATATTCGGCCTCAGAACTGGAGTGTGAATGGACAGCGCGAGGGTCTGGGGCTTCCCCTTCTCCTTCCCGGGGAGGGGGAAGCTGCGCAGACAGTGGCGCGGCAACGTGTGACGTCATACTCGTTTGCTTGTTTCTGTTTGGGGAGTTTTATTCACTTGTTCAACTTTTTGTAGCAATTTTCACCAAAATAGGAGTTTGTTTTGGGACGCCTACTTTTCTGGGTGCCTGACCCGGTCGATGACAGACATAGAATGCTTCCAACCACACTTGGGGGGTTTCTATAGGCCATTGCTCCTCGTGAGTCTGTGAGGAGGCCAGGTTCTGGCTGATGGTTCCTGGTAGGCGCACAGAACTCCATACACATGACTGATGCCAAAGTCTGACATTAGCATATCAGCCTGGATAGCTCCGGAGAGAATCCAGGTCTCACCCAGAAAATGGCGCTTCATTACATTTAATGCTGTTTTTTATCATTGTCTAGTCTCAAAAGTAAAGGAGAGTACTTATAAGGCTTAGTCAAGTATTGCATAGAATACTGAGTACCATCAAATACTACGTTCTTTATTAATTCTTCACCTTTTACTTTCCAACCTTTATCTAACAACAGATTCTTAACAAATAAATTCTCCTTTTTGTTTATATGCCTACTAACATTTCTCATGTCACCTCTTTTTATTTCCCTCTCTTACTGTATTTTCATAACTCCTCCCACATAATATTTTATAATCTGACTTTGTTACTCCTTTTTCTTTTTGCTCATTTTTATTTTATACAATATCTATTTGTTTTTCTTTTCAGTTGGGAAGATATATCTATTTGTTTTTCTTTTCAGTTGGGAAGATATATCTATTTGTTTTTCTTTTCAGTTGGGAAGATATATCTATTTGTTTTTCTTTTCAGTTGGGAAGATACTGGAGTCGAGAAGAGCGTAAACGTCACCTGGAAAAAGAACGAGAGCGACGACGCCGTCATGAACTCTTTCGGCGACAGCAGCAACAACAACAACCAGGTCACAGTACACCTGATGAACCCCCTTCAGCCCTGAAAACCTGTACACTTGAAAATGGAGTCCATCAGGCACTTTGGCGTGATCACTCCATACGAAGGAAGACCTCTTCGACCTTAGAAACCAGTCATAAGAAATCTTCTGCAGCTAGGAAGAGAGATGCAGAGGATACAGCATATGGGGCTCGAACTCCCGTCCTTCCTGTCAATCCTCCACCAAGTCAACAGATGAAGGGCCTCCTATCTGTCACAACTGTCTGAAGCTAGCAAAGACATCAGAATATCTGAGTGTCTTTCATAATATATTTGCAGTATTTAACATTAACTGTATCCACAAATCTATGACACTATTTTAGGCAAGTGACTTCAGCTGTTGTATTTTTATTACCGATATTTAATATTTAGTTGTTTTAGGCTGTTGCCAGTGTTGTTTCTCTAGTTGTGAGATAAATTTGAAATGTTAATTAAAAGTGAGGAACAAAAGTTCTTAATAAACCAGTGCTTATATTTTATAATGACTGATATAAAAATAGAACAGCTATTTACAGTTTCTACATCTTCTGAAGAAGTGGAATTTCACGTTTTCTAAATTAACTGCAAAAATTATACAGCACAGTACTGTGGCACTTTAAAATCACGACCAGAATCATGGGAGGTCCGACTCATGTTTCAAAGAAAATAAGGTGATATGACTGTATCCATCTGCCTTTGAAATACATCATCTTAGAAACATTAGAGAACATCTAAGATTACTAATATTTTATATCATAAAAATGATGTTTTCATACTCTTAAATTCAAGTGATTTTATTTTAGTGGAGCCCCCCAAAAATATTAGTGCTTTATACAGACGTGTTTGGCAAATGATGCTCAATGGACAAGTGATGCTAAACTTATCCACGATGTGACATGGACTATGGAAGCCGATTGCTTCTTATGCTCTGGTATTACCGTCATACTGGATTCACAGTTCTTGTAAATAACAATGAAGACTGCTCATTGAACTCGTCCATTTATTTTATACTTATTGTGGATGTTCCATATATATAAATACAATATATATATATATATATATATATATATATATATATATATATATATATATATATATATATATATATATATATATATATATATATATTCAGTATATAAATAGGTGCAATTGGAAAAATGGTATCTTTGTGAGCTTGATCATACGTCACGACCCAGATTAAGTCAAAAAACACCGCTTGTGCTTGTGATCCAGCCCATTAAGAATTCATTGACCATAACTGACTCCAGCATTATACCTTGGCTTTTGTGATGATTAGTCAACTCCCAGCAAAACCCAATTGTATAAATGGTGACACAAGTCTAGAGATACACCTAGCTGCTTGTAATCTACAAGAGTCAAGTTCACAAGTACAGCAGTACACATCCCAAATAAAATCCCTAGTCTCCTTCGCTCTTCTTTCCCTTAATAGTTTCGACGTTTGTCTGTATACTCTGTATTGATGTAAATTTGTGTATAGTAAAAAAAAGCTTTATATTGCCTATGGCCATTCAAGAATATGTTATGCTTTAAAATAAAATTATTGATATTAAATCTTTTATTTGTCACACTTGTGTATATTTGCATTGACTTTTCAGACACACAAAGATCACTAAAATTAGTACAGTACAACTATTTTGTAATATTGATACAGTATATGTGTATTTAGGTAGATAAGCTGGTGTTGCAAATGGCTACTACCATTGTGCAATAAAAATGGATTGGATTGTGCTAAAAATTCATCTTCTATATTATTTTAACTATAAGAGTTAAGAGTTATAAGAGCTTTGACAATTATTATCAAGTGTATAAGAATTGACATGGAGCGAGAGCTATATATAAGAGTTATACTATAAGAGTTAAGAGTTTCGGTCCTTAATGTGAAGTAGTGAGTTAACTATAACTATTATTTTAACTATATATATGAGTTCAAGAAGGCAAGTTCTGGGTGGGGGCAAGAATGTAAGGCAAGCTGAGGCATATCCCATGTAGAGCAGCAAGACGATAATGGGTCAAGGGAGAGACCACGGAATATGAGGGGCATCCATAATTGCATTTAGATAGAGCAGGAGTGCTAACGGGACTTAGAACATTCAATGTGGAAGTGAGCAGCATGGGGTGTTCAAGACAAACAGGTGTCAAAGATGCTGCAAAGTTCTTTGGATACTGCTCCAAGAGCTTGGCAGTATCCTTATACATAAGAGAAGTACCATAGTGACAACTGGGGATGAGGGAGGAAAAGCCTCAAAAGTCATAGCTATAAAGAACTATAAGCCATGATTAGTAGCTCAGGATGACTATTGATTGCAAGCTGAAGTTGTTGGAGGAATGATGTGTCCTCACCATGACAGAAGATGGCAAGATCAATATAAAGGGAGGAGAAAATGTCAGGAGACTTAAAGAGGAGGGTTAGAAAGGAAGATGGGAGACCATTTAGAGCAACCAGAAAAAGAGTGGAGGGAGACAAGGTAGATTAGTTCAGACAGGGTGAAAATACCATTATAAAGGCACAGACTAAAACAAAAGTTCAGGGAGGCGAGATGCAAGAAGAAGTTTGAGTAAGAAAAGGAGGAGGAAGATGAGCACCAGAGCTAAAGCTGAATATTACGAACCCAGTTCACTTACGACCAACATCAGATCTGACACAATGTAACCTTGGAATTTACCTAAGTGTTACCCCAAGTGTAGTTACAGGATGAAAGCTACGCTCGTGGTGTTCCCGTCTTCCCAGCATTCTTTGTCGTATAACTTTGTTATATAATGAGACGATAGGGTTGAACTTGAAGCAGTAAGTCAACATTTAATTTCTATAATTTCTCAATTTCTGATGAACTTCCCGAGGGGCTATTCAACTTGGAGACTAGACAGAAAAATTAGTTAAATTGGATGTATTGCCCTGCTGGTGAAAGAACACCTAAAGGTAAACGAAATAATCAAAATCAAAAATCAAAATCAAAATGTTTATTTAGGTAAGGTACATACATAAAAGAGATTTTACAAAGAGTGATGGATTTCTAGATAGGGCTAGTACATACAATGCCTAAAGCCACTATTACGCCAAATAATAAGCCAAATAATGATTAGCAACCCACAGGAAGTTGACATAGCAACCCATGGGAAGTTAACATAGCAACCCAAAGGAGGATGACATTGCAACCCACAGGAAGTTAACATAGCAACCCACAGGAAGTTGACATAGCAACCCACACGAAGTTGGCATAGCAACCCACACGAAGTTGACATAGCAACCCACACGAAGTTGACATAGCAACCCACACGAAGTTGACATAGCAACCCACAGGAAGATGACATAGCTACCCAAAGGAAGTTGACATAGCAACCCACAGGAAGTTGACATAGCAACCCACGGGAAGATGTCATAGCAACCCACAGGAAGTTGACACAGTAACCCACAGGAAAATGACATAGCAACCCACAGGAAGTTAACATAGCAACCCACAGGAAGGTGACATAGCAACCAACTAAAAGATGACATAGCAATCCACAGGAGTTGACAAAGCAACCCACAGGAAGTTGACATAGCACCCACAGGAAGTTGACATAGCAACCCACAGGAAGTTGATATAACAACCCACAGGAAGTTGAAATAGCAACACACAGGAAGATGACATTGCAACCCACAGGAAGTTGACATAGCACCCCACAGAAAGTTGACATAGCAACCCAAAGGAAGTTGACATAGCAACCCACAGAATGTTAACGTAGCAACCAACAGGAAGATGACATAGCAACCCAAAGGAAGTTGATATATCAACCCAAAGGAAGTTGACATAGCAACCCATGGGTAAATGACATGGCAACCCACAGGAGGTTGACATAGCAACCCCTGGGTAGATGACATAGCAACCCACAGGAAGTTGAAATAATAACCCACAGGAAGATGACATAGCAACCCAAAGGAAGTTGACATAGCAACCTGCAGGAAGTTGACATAGCAACCCACAGGAAGTTGACAGCAACCCACAGGAAGTTGACATAGCTACCCACAGGATGTTGACATAGCAACCCACAGCATGTTGACATAGCAACCCACAGGAAGATGACATAGCACTCCACAGGAAGATGACATAGCAACCCGTAGGAAGTTGACATAGCAACCCACAGGAAGTTGACATAGCAACCCACGGGAAGTTCACAGCAACCCACAGGAAGTTGACATAGCAACCCACAGGAAGTTGATATAGCAACCCACATGAAGATGACAGCAACCCACAGGAAGTTGACATAGCGATCCACAGGAAGTTGACACAGCAACCCACAGGAAGTTGACACAGGAACCCACAGGAAGATGACATAGCAACCCACGGGAAGTTGACAGCAACCCACAGGAAGTTGACATAGCAACCCACAGGAAGTTGACATAGCACCCCACAGAAAGTTAAAGTAGCAACCTACAGCAAGTTGACATAGCAACCAACAGGAAGATGACATAGCAACCCACGGGAAGTTGACAGCAACCCGAAGGAAGTTGACATAGCAACCCAAAGGAAGTTGACATAGCAACCCACAGGATGTTGACATAGCAACCCACGGGAAGTTGACATAGCAACCCACAGGAAGTTGACATAGCAACCCACAGGATGTTGACATAGCAACCCACAGGATTTTGACATAGCAACCCACTGGATGTTGACACAGCAACCCACAGGAAGATGACATAGCAACCCACAGGATGTTGACATAGCAACCCACAGGATGTTGACATTGCAACCCACAGGAAGATGACATAGCAACCCACGGGAAGTTGACAGCAACCCACAGGAAGTTGACGTAGCAACCCACAGGAAGATCACATAGCAACCCACAGGAAGTTGACATAGCAACCCACAGGAAGTTGACATAGCAACCCACAGGAAGATCACATAGCAACCCACAGGAAGTTGACATAGCAACCCACAGGAAGATCACATAGCAACCCATAGGAAGTTGACATAGCAACCCACAGGAAGATGACATAGCACCCCACAGGAAGTTGACCTAGCAACCCACAGGAAGTTGATATAGCAACCCACAGAAGTTGACATAGCAACCCACAGGAAGTTGATATAGCAACCCACAGGAAGATCACATAGCAACCCACAGGAAGTTGACATAGCAACCCACAGGAAGATGACATAGCACCCCACAGGAAGTTGACATAGCAACCCACAGGAAGTTGACATAGCAACCCACAGAAGTTGACATAGCGACCCACGATGACTGCATGAATGATAATGAGAGAGGCGGCACTCACAGTATCGCATCAATGTTCATAATTTGGCAGAGATTGAAAGTTATCGATGTCTTCTATTTGTGTGAGGGTTATGAGAAAAGAAAATAAACATATGAGTGGAAATGGATGGACTCGGGATGGCAAAGATGAGGGGTTGTGTTAATGGTGATATCAAAGTGTTGTTGTTTTATGACAAATGTATAGCTTAGTCAAGAGCCTGAGATTGTGAGTCGAAGTATGTTTGAAAGTTAGTCGCAATTCAGATAAGTTAGGGGCCGTGTGTATAAGGTTAGGTTGGGGGGTAGGTTGGTTAAAGATGGGTTGTCGTATTTCGGTTTTTTGCGTCTGGGATGTGATTACATCGTCCCTCTTTAACGTTTGTATTGTATTTGTATTTGTACGTGTCAGTAGTACACCGTATTGAATATCTGGGATTGGTTGGAGGATGTGTCGTGGGAGCGTGGGGTTTATGTAGTTTTTCAGTTAAGTGCCAGATCGTTGGGAGGTTTGTACAGCTGGGGTTTTTTACTCTTGGTGCCGGTGGTTGGGGTTTGTGGCAAGTTAACCTGGGAGTGACTTTGGTAAGGCGTGCTACGAAGGCATTTAGGAGGTGTCGCGTGAATCCCCTGCATAGCGGTGGAACTGCCTTTTCTACTCTCATTGCCTCAGTCCTGGAAATTCACTTCTACAGGAGCCAAGAGGAGTTATTAGTCCTGCCAGCTCTCCGTAACCCCCCCCCCCCTCAAGGTCTGGCCCGACCTGGTACGACTCTGAGGCAAGCCGGGCGCCTCCGCTAACAGGTAGTTAGCCTTCGCAAACAAGCAGTTAGCCACCTTCAACTAGCAGTGGTACAGTTTCAAGACAAAGGTGCCGCCAGCCACAAACTAGCAGTTTGCTAGCAGTACTTGTTACCACCTTGCGTTGACACCGGCTGTCATCACCGCCAGACTATATAAAGGGCACGTACCGCCCCCTCTAGAGGCCCAGTCTCTCTCTTAGTTCTCTTGGATCACCTTAAACTCCTGCAACGTTGTCGCCTGCCAGCTTACGTCGTGTGCCGGATGCAGTGGTGGTATGGTAGTTGTCTTCAGCCCACAAGTAATTATTTATCCTTTATTTTTAATGTGTTTATCGCAGTGTATATATGTTGCATTGTTCACCTTTGAAGGGTATGATCGGCATGTTCTCAGGTGCCATTTGCGTAATATTTCAGTAACTTGTTTTAATTATTTGATTTTCTTTTGTTTCTACCTGCGACTTGCACACTGCAAGGGGCCAAAGCAGCATTTTTTGTTCATTTGTGTGACGAAGAGCCATACCACCTTGGCTCAGTATAGCTGCAATACCACAACCTGTCAGGTTTTCCAGCATCAGTTCAAACGATGTGTTTCTAGCAATAGTAGCTGTGTTAGGGCAGATATCATTATCTGTAGATGTCGATGATGTGTCAGTTGGGTCCGCCTCAAGGATGGGTTGGTTTATTTGAGCAAAAAATGTAATTAGGAGTCCAGCCTCTTTTCTAGTGCATTTTCAATGCAAGTGATAAGAGTTTCAATAAGATCGGGACTGGGTTGTAGATTTTGTGGGAGAGGATTGGACTCTGGGGGGTGCAGGATTGTCAGTGGCAGATATATCAGGTACAAGCAAAGGTTGTGGTAGATTGTGAGGTAGTGGTTGATGATGGACTGAGTTAGGTTGTTTGAATGCACTACTGTATTGCAGGTTGTTGGTAGGGAGAACCTTATAGCTTTTGCTGCTATGTATGAAGGACATTGTTTGAATGTAATGTCATGATCGCCACCACAGTTTGAGCAGGTTCTAAAAACCTGCATCGTTTTTAGATGGTTAACATTCTAATAACATACAATTATTTTCAACATGACTTAACTCTAGTATCTTTAATTTCACTAAATCGATATTGGTGTATGCAATTTTCGGGAACACTTTCCCTCCTCTCCTTATTCTTCACTCCCCCTTTCTCTAGCTATTTTGTTGGTTTGCCTCTCTGTACCATTTTACTGGTCTGCCTATCCTATCACTTTGTAAAAAAAAAATAATTGATTTCCTTCATTCCTGCACGTATTTATATGTTTGATATGTTGCAGAATCGTGCAACCTATCTGATGCAGGGAAGCAGCCCGTGACAGCTGACTAACTCCCAGGTACCTATTTACTGCTAGGTAACAGGGGCATAGGGTGAAAGAAACTCTGCCCATCGCTTCTCGCCGGCGCCCGGGATTGAACCCGGGACCACAGGATTACGTGCCCAGCGTGCTGTCCGCTCGACCGGCCGGCTCCCACACACCGGCCGGTGTGTATGTGTGAAAAAAATTAGTAGTTAGTAACAGTTGATTGATTGACAGTTGAGAGGCGGGCCGAAAGCGCAGAGCTCAACCCCCGCAAGCACAACTAGGTGAATACTGACCATTTTGAAAATCCAACACATGGGCTGACCCATCTGATACTTGGGTCAACTTCCAATATGGTTCGGAATACTGTACTGAAGCCGAGATGGTCTCTGTTTACCTCTGTACTCACCTAGTTGTGTTTACGAGGGTTGAGCTCTGGCTCTTTGGTGCATGTACCCAGTATGTCCATCTGCATGATGGCGGCGTTGCGGCTCTAATCAGTTAGCCTTACTGTGATCTTTACTGTCCTGGAAAACTCCCTCTGGATTCTCCTCCTAAGACCGGGTGACAATCATGATCTATATGTGCGCCATGTAAGTGGTTTCTTAAAACTCTCAAAGGTATCGGAATGTTCGAAGGAGGGACGTTGAGGGCATCTCCGCATGTTGTTATGGTTGTAGGGTTAGGGGCAGCTATAGCGCAGCGCCGTGAATGTCAGATGGTCCCTTCTCTTCGCTGAATTTATAGAATAGGCCTGGTTCTGTTTTACATTTGGCCGCTATCCATTTTTTTAAATTTATTTCTGCCTCTTTCCTCACTGCCGTGTAGTTGTTTCTCGCATCTTTGTATTGCTGGTATGTTTGGGGGTTTGGCCCTCTTCCTATATTGATTCCATTTTTGTGTCTTTTGATCTCTGGCCCTCTCGCAGTTTTTGTTGAACCAATCCTGTTTTCTAGTTCTGCGTCTTTGCTTTGGTATCAATTTTGTTGTGCCTTTATCATATATTTTACAAAGCTTGACATATCTCATTTCCTTCATGTCCTAACAAGTCTTTCCAGTCAAATTCCTTAAAGAAATGTCTAAGATCCCCATAATGTTCTCTCCTGAAATCAGGTTTTTCAACTGCTTCAACCTCCTTATTTATTTCCAGGTTATAACGCATTGCATACTTTATTCCCAAAAAGACAAGGTCATCTTTACCCAAGGGAGGAAGGTACTGAATGTCACATCTCTTCCTCTTGGTAAATATCAAATCCAGCATGGAGGGAATATCCCCTTCCCTTATCCTCATAGCGTATTTAACATGTTGAAACATGAAGGTTTCTAGGGTGAGATTTACGAATCTAAAAGTCTAAAAAAAACTGTTCTAGTTTCATATGCCTCCCAGTCTATGGATTTAAAGTTGAAGTCGTAGACTAAAAACAGTCGTGTATCAGCTCTCGTTATAATCTCTCTCAATATTGTTGTAAGACCCTCTCCTTTGAACAAATCCTCAAGGGCCGTGACGAGGATTCGAACCTGCGTCCGAGAGCATCCCAGACGCTGCCTTAATCGACTGAGCTACGACATGGTCAAAAAGGTGTACTCTCTCGTTTATTATCAAGCTTCTCCTTTGACCATGTGTTGCATGGCGGTGGACTATTTACATTTATGATCGTTGGTTTATCATCCTGATTGCAGATCTCTAGTGCTATTATGTCAACTTCTCGTGGATTGGCAAACATTTCGCTTACCTTTAGATGTTCTTCTTGCACAGCAACGCCACCGCCTTTCCTAATTTTCCTGTCTTGTCTCCAAACTGAATAGCCTCTTGGGAATATGACCTCATTTAAAATATCATCTTCAAGTTTCGTCTCCATGAGTGCAACAATGTCTAGCGTCTGCAGCTGTATTACATCACTTAACTCCAGTATCTTTGATCTCACTCCATCTATGTTGGTGTATGCAATTTTCAGGAACACGTTCCCCCTCTCCTTATTCTTCACTCCCCCCTTTCTCTAGCGATTTTGTTGGTTTGCCTTTTTGTACCATTTTACTGGTCTGCCTACCCCTACTACTTTGTAGAAAAAAAAAGAATTGATTTCTTCTTCATTCCTGTCCTAATTTAGACATTTTGCCTCGACGAGGTTCAGTTTCAGCTTTTCTGTCTTCTTTTGAAATATTTTGTCTTAACGACCATAATGTCCCTTTCCTCATCACTTTGTAATTTTCTAGCATTCCTTGGTACTTCTTCCATCTGTTTTGCACCGTTCAGGGTGATCCTCAAAGGTCGATCTTTCCCTTTACGTACTTGCCAATCCTCCTGTAGTCAGACATTCTGTATGGTAGTAAGATCTTTCTGCGATTGCTGTAACTTTGTTGAATTTTTGATACATACATTATATGAAAATCGGGAGGAAAATAAACAGACATAGACTCGCTATTACTTCAAGACGATCTTAATAGGGTTTTGAAATGGTCAAAAGATTGGCAGATGCAGTTTAATGCTGGCAATTGTAAGATTTTAAGGCTAGGTAATGATGATATGGTTACAAAATATGAGCTAGATGTTGTTGAGATTGCGAAAGGGATCTGAGTTATGATTAGTAAAAATTTAAAACAAAAAAATCAATACATAAATGTTCGTAATACAGCAAATAGGACATTGGGATTTATTAATCGAAGCATTACTAATAAGACACCTGGTGTTGTTCTTCAGTTATTTCTTGCTCTGGTTAGGCCCCATTTAGATTATAATTTCCTGCCCGAAACGCTTTACGTAATAGTGGCTTTAGGCATTGTATGTACTAGCTCTATCTATTAACCCAACAAACTTTGTAAAATCTCTTTATGTATGTACCTTACCTAAATAAACATTTATTTATTTATTTATGTAGTTCAGGTTTGGTCGCCGTACTATAGAATGGATACAAATTCACTAGAATGCGTCCAGCATAGGATGACAAAGTTAATCCCGTAAATTAGACACCTCTCATATGAAGAAAGATTGACAAAGCTTAAATTATATTCGCTGGAAAGGCGAAGAGTTAGAGGTGACATGATAGAAGTGTTTACTAGTTCGGTAACAGGATTGTTGATTTGTGGAACCAATTACCGCGTAACGTGGAGGTAGGGTCCCTTGATTGTTTAAAGCGTGGGCGTGGGGCTGGACAATACGTATTAGTGGCTTTAGGTATTGTATGTACTAGCTCTATCTATTAATCCAACATCATCTATGTATGTATTTTTCCCGAATAAAAATTTGAATTTGACATGTATATGAGTGGGATTAGGTGGTTATAAATAGGAGTTGCCTCGTATGGGCCAATAGACCTTCTGCCGTTACCTTAATTCTTATATAAATAACTACTAGCACTAAAGTGTTACTGGTCCTCAGGTTCAGGAGCCTGTACACCAATTAACAGCTGAGGGGGGCGGGAGCAAATAGTCGAAGATCATTCCTGTAAGCACAACTAGGGGAGTCCATCGGCATGACCATTAGGCTGTGCGCCATCTATGTTTTGACAGCAGTACTACCAGTTTACCCCCACGTTATTCGATGATCACGTGAGAGAGCACGGGTGTTAGGGTCAGTTGCTATTCTATATATGATTCTAGACAACGTAGGTGACTTGTAGCTTGTTGCGGGCAGAAGTCAGCAGTAACTCTTTAACCAGTGTTGGAAGAAGACGTATAAACCAGTGCGGTTGACCAGCGGGTAAGTTGATTATTTTTTTGTATTTAGGTGCGTCTTTCTAATAGTCATTTGTGTTAATTAAATTTAAGTTGGGTTAATTATAAGTTATAATAGTTAATTAAGTTAATGTTTGGATTTTACTTGAAGATATAATAAAATAGAGGGGGGGGGGGAGAATTCGTATAGGTAATAATGAATTACTTCTGTAAGCTACGTGTGGTTTCAAAGTAAATTGATTAGAGGGCCAGTAACCCTAGAGGCCTTTACGGGGATAGGAAGCCGGCGTCTTGTCAATTTTTTAAACCGTTTTAATAGTACGGCTTCGACGGGTAGGATGTTTCATAAGTTTATACGTGTGGGAGGAAAGTCTTGGGAGCGTCCACATTTAGTGTTCTGTGGGGCGTGTTTAAAAAAGTTAGAGGGCTGCCCCATAATTACCCCTTAACGTGCAGCGGGAGTATTGAAGTGTCCTTATTAGTTATGGAGAAGCAAAAAACAAATCTTGGTTATATCTAAGATGTGGTCTACTTAAAACTAAGGTCGGGTAACTGACGCGTACCGAAATTTTTTTAATGTATTTTAGTAAATGTTAACTTGCCATTATGCCTTTGACCGAACAAGTCTGTTGGTGGGAAGAAGAGTAGAATAATTCAGCAGTTACCAGGGAGGATTGGTCTTTAATTTAAATAAAACTTCATACGAAGAAATGTTTGCCAAGGTGCTTAAAAATTGCAAAGGGCGGGTTTGTCTCCATATACCACGTTTATTAAATCATTAGTCGGCAAGTGCTAGTCGGGGAAAGTTGCTTATGTGGTACCACTTTGAAAGGACAATTAATTTTGAAATGCAAAGCCACTGCTTATTTTGAAATAAGCGGGAATTCTGGGAAGGAGAAACATTGCAGTCTCAGTGGTGTAGTGGTAAGACACTCGCCTGGCGTTCCGCGAGCGCTATGTCATGGGTTCGTATCCTGGCCGGGGAGGATTTACTGGGCGCAATTCCTTAACTGTAGCCTCTGTTTAACGCAACAGTAAAATGTGTACTTGGTTGTAACAACGATTCTTCGCGGCAGGGGATCGTATTCCAGGGACCATAGGATTAAGGACTTGCCCGAAACGCTACGCGTACTTGTGACTGTACAAGAATGTAACAACTCTTGTATATATCTCAAAAAAAAAAAAAAAAAAAAAAAAAAAAATTTACGCAGCGCTCAGAGCTGCACGCGCAGTGGGGAGGGGGGGGGGGCACATATTTAAGTTTCTCCCTCACCATTTGGTCCGGGAGACATTTCCCGTCACGCAGTTGCGCCTCCACAGATCTCCAGTATTATCTTTGATACTGGTAATGGCTCAAAAGGGCCACCACTTAGGGCTATTCATGCCCGTGCCACCTCTTGGGTGGCTTAAGTTACAACCCAGTTGCAGTATACATACCCCCAGTGACCATGACTTGCCTCTAAAATTTGAGGTTAGGTAATGATGATAGTTAAGATACGAGCTAGATGATGTGATTGCGAAGTCGGATTGCGAAATGGATCAGTTATGATTAGTAAGAATTTAAAAAAAAAGGACCAATGCATAAATGTTCGTAATAAGGCAAATCGGACACTTCGATTTATTAATCGAAGCGTTAGTAACAAGACACCTGGTGTGGTTCTCAAGCTATATCTTGCTCTAGTTAGGCCCCATTTAGATTATGCAGTTCAGTTTTGGTCGCCATATTATAGAATGGATATAAATTCACTTGACAGTATCCAGCGTAGGATGACAAAGTTAATTCCCCAAATTAGAAATCTTTCATATGAAGATTAACAAAGCTTAAGTTGCATTCACTGGAAAGGCGAAGAGTTAGGGGTGACGTGATAGGTTTAAAAGTGGGTGAATGGACATAACAAAGGGGATATTAATAGGGTATTAAAAGTATCGACAAAAGACAGAACACGAAACAATGGGTATAAATTGGATAAGTTTAGATTTAGGAAAGACTTGGGTAAATACTGGTTCAGTAACAGGGTTGTTGATTTGTGGAACCAATTGCCGCGTAACATTGTGGAGGTGGGGTCCCTAGATTGTTTCAGGCATGGGTTGGACATGTATGAGTGGGATTGGGTGGTCATAAATAGGGATTGCCTCGTATGGGCCAACAGGACTTCTGCAGTTGCCTTTGTTCTTATGAGTGTTTCGAGCCGACCGGAGCTGTGGAGAACAGACTCCTCGTGAGTTTGCTTAAATGTGCCCCCCCCCCCCACGGCGCGCACAGCTCTCGCTGAGCTCTGGGTAAATGGTTTTTCTCCTTCCCAGCTAACTGTAGGTAGTTACTAAGTGATTGTAGCCTATCCACCGCTGCCCACTGGATGGGGGGGCGGTGTGCAGGACAAACATAAATTTTGACACTAGCTCTCCACATGTCAGTTGCTTAATTTAGAACCTGTACTTGAGGTAGATCTCGAACCCATTGTGATGACTTGTATTGAATTTCGTAACTAGCTCGTAAAGATTGTGACTTGCTTAGCTAAATGAATTGTGGGGTTCAGTCCCTGAGCCCATTATGTGCCTCTGTAACCCTTTCCACTACTGCCCACAAGATGGGTATGGGGTGCATAATAAATGAACTAAACTAACTCCTTCCCAGAATTCCCCCGCTTATTTTAAAATAAGCAGTGGCCAGTTCTTCGGCTATCTTTATCTTGTTTAAGCCCCATTTAAATTATGCAGATTATGCATGGTTGCCATGCTATAGAATGGCTATAAAATTGCTGAAACATGTCAAACGTAGGATGACAAAAGCTAATCCCGCAAATTAGAATCTGTCGAATGAGGAAAAATTGAAAGCTGAAATGCACGCCTCTAAAAGCAAGAAATTACTTGCACAAGTGAAAGTTGAGATTTACTAAAACTGGGTATTAGAGGTATGAAGTATACAAACTTTAAACAATGGGTATGAATTGGATGAGTTTAGGTTTCAGAAAGCCCTGGGGTAAATACTAGTTTGGTAATAGGGTTTTGTGAAAGAAATTACTACGCAACATTGTCAAAGTAGGATCCCTTGATTTTTTTTAAAGCATTGGTTAAGTGTACAGTATATGAATGAGACGTATACTTTAGTTACCTCACATGGTCCAACAGCCTTCTGTAGTTACCTTAATTGTGCCTAACATGCTTAGGCCTTAACTTTTAATCACAAGCCAGTATGGTTATTGACCACAAAGGTAATGTGTATGAAAATGACTGAAAACCGGTTGTGAAAGTTAGTCGGTTAACTGAAAAGTTAAATAGGTGGTGCCTTGCCATACCAAAGCTTTAATCTTGATAAATTAGTTTACAGCAGCCCTTGCTTCTGTCACGAATCTTAATAAGATTCTGCCAATTCTCTCGAACCTCTTATGTTGTTGTTTTCTCTACGTAAATATTGCTGTCAGTTTGTATAAGATTTGTGTATATAGATATATATACATTATATATATATATAACATAGATAGCTGGGTAGTGTGTAAGGTTGTTCGGTGGTGGATGTCACGTGAAATTAGCCGTGTGGCCGGTTGACAATATTTGGGAATGGCCAGGGCGATTGTTGGCAAATCAATTGCCTATAGTTTTATATTTATTTATTCCCATATTTGGTAGCCGTAATATTTCAAGGAATGCGAGACCAGTAATTGCAACTCTTAGTTAATAATGTTGGAGTTTAGGGCTGACCTTTGTAAATAGAATGTTCACAATGTTCATGCGAACGTTAATTGGAGTTTGGGTAGACGGTTAGTCGACGTTGGGCCTGCGGACCACGTCCTGGGCAGTTGAGTGGCGGCTGCGGTCGAGTGCAGTTGTGTTTAAGCTAAGTTCTTGGTTTTTGTTATTTTAAGCCCATATAAATATTAATTTATCTGGATAGACGATTTTGGTGTATTTATGGCTTACTGCATATTCTGGTGATAGTGCTAAAGTCTCAATTACTTGTATTCTATAGTATTACATGCTGATAAATATTTCTGGCTACTATTTAATGGTTAAGTTGTCACCCTTAGCAAAATATATTGTTCTCCCGTTTTTATACAGTGATTAATTATACCTCTAGACACCTATTGGCATGGCAGATTATTTCTTTACACTGTGGGGAGAAGAACATTATGTAGTCTAAAGGGTCGTGACAGCTTCACATCTTAATTTCCTGTTCTTGTCCTCCAAAAAATTGATGAAACTGGCTCTCTCAATAAGTGTAATCATCTACTGAAAAGATGGTCCTGTATCACATTAGGACCTAATAATTCTAGTTATATAAAATGTTTTGCCTCTTGTCAAATCCTGTTGTAGAATATGGTTGTAAAGGGTGAAAAGACTTTTAGCAGTGAAATGTTGGTATTGGGCATGGGTTCTGCCAATATTGGCTGGCACCGCTGCTTATGGGTAGTTAAAATTTAGTAGGGCTGGCATGCAGTTTATGGAATATTCATGTCAATGCCAACTCTTGGGTGGCTTAATCGTCATAAATGAGCCGGGGAGGATTGACCGGGCGCCAATCCTTAACTGTAGCCTCTGTTCACCCAGCAGTGAATGGGTACCTGGTTGTTAAAAGATTCGGCGGGGTCATATTCCGGGGAAATTAGGGTTAAGGACCTGCCCGAAACGCTACGCGTACTAGTGGCTTTACAAGAATGTATGTATGAGTGGCATTCCATGGGTCACTTATTAGCCATTAGCTTTTTGTAGGCTGGCTCCTTGATTTAGATTTGTGCTCTGCCCATTTAGCTATGGGGCTGTTGGTTCTATCATGCACATATAATTTTGATTTACAGGCATACAGCCTATAATTTTAAAGCCTTGTTTGGCTTGAAAGAGTAGAAATGGCTTGTATTCACTCTTCTAGCTTTCTTTAGGGAAAAATATACACGTGGGACAGGAAAGTGCTTGAATGTTATGAGCATAGTGGTGGTATCCCTGGATTTGAGGTACAGTATGTAGAAATCTTTTTGGCATGCTATCATAATTGTTTGGTTAATGTTTAAAAATCATGTTTTCATATCTTCATACTTGTTGCTTTCCTACTATGGGTAGATTGTCCTGTAGTAGACCTTATTACCATACAGTACTAAGTACAGTACCTGAAATTAACATTAAAAACATTGCCTTCTGCTGCCCAATTTAACTGACTGTTCTTAAGGGTGTTTTTAAGTAAAAAAAATCATTCTTGGTGTCCTGCATAAATTTATTCTAAATATTCTTAATTCATTAAGTTTTCTTCTTATCCTTTAAATTGTATTTGCAGGTGGTAAATTCTCCTTCAGCTGCTACAGTTCTCCAGCCCAGGGTGTTGACTGGCTAGTCTTCAATTGCCTCCCAACATGGTAATGAGGTCCTGAGCTGATGTGATCTGTGGCGAAGAGTGAAGTAGTTGCCTGAAGTAGCGTATGGCACCCTTTCTAACCAGCAGCTGGCACCAACTTTGGCCAACATCAGAGTGGACAAGGCCCAGATCCTGTGGGAGACCTTCTACACTAACATGTTAAAGGTACAGAATTTTAATCACACCCCCCCCCCCTTCCTTTGCAGTTTCAGTTCCCCTCCCTCTTTTACATTCCCATAGCTTGAAAAGCTGTATCTTAAACAGCAGCATAGTTTTGTTAAAGAATGAATTATTGGCTGGGATTAAATATCCTCTAAAGCAGAAAATTAGAAAGTGTCCATGCTTTGGTATTAGTTGGGTGAATGAGATTAATAAGGTAAAACTACCTAAAGTTTAAAAAAAAAAACTGTAGCTCCCACTTGTGCAATTTTGATTGGACTGTGACTTGGTCCTTATCTATCTACTGAAAGGTAATATTTTTAGCATTTATGGATTATGCTGCACATAAGCTTTTGAGTTTTAAAGTAATTTGCCAGTCTTCAAACTACTTGTGTTCGTGTGTATTTCTTATAAGGTCTCATAGCCTTCACTTTATTCAAACATGAGTCGTAATGTCCTTATGACAGTTGGGCCAAAAAATAGAATATTGGGTTCTTTCCTGCCATGTTTAGTAATTTTAGATCCTTTCACTGTTTTAACTAGGTTCTTCATTCATTGTAATGGTTATTTAATGTGTTTTGTTTCCTGGCAAGTCATGTGGTAGGTTGTGAAAAGCTTAAAAAAATCAGTTTAGTTAGTCCTTTGATGTTGAGTGGTTAATTTGGAAAGTAAAGTTTGCATGACAGACTTATTTACAGTATTTAAATTTTCTTTTTGGGGGGGGGGCCTACTCTTCTAAAATTCCTGTAAATGGTGAATGAATCTGACTTTATATCTAAAGTCTACTGGATTTGATGGTAGTTTTGTGCTATTTGTGGCCTGTATAAATGGGAGCAACATTTGCAAAAAAAATCCAATCTAGAAAAGTATTGAAAGTAGAGGCACATTTCATGGAAAGTTTCCCCGACCCTTAAACTGTGCATATTACTGCAAATATAGGGAATGGTAGTCAAAAATATTTGATTTGTGTAAATAACGTCCATGTTAAATCTACAATTTATTGGCTAAAGTGTCGTGAAACTTTCATATTTTTGGAAATTGATTTTAGACTAATTTTGGTAAAGTTTTATGAACAGCTTCTAATAACTGAAACTGAAAGATTATGCAGTAATAGATGCAAGCATCTGTTCTAGACACAAAGAATAGTAGTATTCACAAAGTGGATATGCAGTTGGGGCCTTTATCATAAAGTAATACATGGCACATAATAATATTCATAAGATAAATACATTGGACAATGTTAATGTTACTTTCATATTGTTCCCAAAAATTTGTTATGGAAATTTTTTAATTTTAGTTTTTGTAACCTTTACCTCCTTGAAAATGCATTTTTCATAACCGTGGATAGAATGAAATTGGTAAATAAATAAATCGGTCAAAACTTTGGACTTGATATTTATGGCCCAATTTCTATTCTGCTTTAAAACTGCAGGTATTCTCTTTAGGTTGGTTTGATTAGACCATTAGGGCTTTTTCACTTGTATAAAGTATACCCTAAAGATATCCCCTAAATCAGAATTTTCCCTAGTTTGTATTTTTGGTTATTTATTTCTAGACTTTAAATTTAAACACATTGACCTAGAACTCGTACATTAGCGTAAATGTTTATTAAAACGGTTAAATTAAAAAGTTCAATTATCTCTGGTTTCAGTTTCGTCTTTGAGTTTTCTGATTATCACTATTTTGATTATGCTCAGCTGTCTGTTATAAAATTCCATCAGACTTGATTTTTCTTAAGTTTTATAAATTTGGAGTTTTAATTTTTTAGTCTAAAATTGCCACAATTCAAATGCCCTATCAACTTTTTTTTTTTACAGTAAAAATATACTGAACCTATATTCTAACTTTATGTTCTGAAAATGTTAAATTAATAATTCATTTTATATTCTGAATTGAAAATATAGTTCTGAATATTAAATTATACTTTAGAATCTTTTGAAAGTTATGCTCTAATCATTTAGACAGTAGGAGCCCTTGCCTAGTTGATTATGCAAATTTAACTTGTTAAATTGTCAAATCATGTGGTTTAAGGGTTAACTTTGCAATTAAATATCCACACCTGTTAAATTTTTTGGGTTTTTAAACTTGTATCCCATATGGTATATCTTGATTAATCCTGTACACCTGCTTAACATCCATGAATGTTTTGGTATATAGTTGAATACTGATGTAATAGTGAATTTAATGTTTGTGTTTATCAGATGACATGCTGAAGTGGAGCCAGTTATGTTACTTGGTTATCGTCTAGTATGTAGTTTGGTCAAAATGGTTTTTGGTAACAATCTTCTGCCATGTTGACTGTCCTTGTATAATTGTCCTAAAGGTTACAAAGTGTAGGTTTGTGTACTTCTGGTATTTTTGAGTAGTTTCTTTCAGAATTTGAAGCCTCTGTAGGTTCGGATATTATAGTCTACATGTTCCAAAAGGCTTTGCTTAGTTACTAGGTTAAACTACATATATAATCCATACTGTAGTTCATTGTAGGTGCAAATGATATTTGGGAAAGCTGTAGTTATTCCCATAATACTTGCATATTGTATCTTGATGTCGTAAGCAACTTGATGGATTGCCATTCTTGTTCTTTGAGGGTAGTGTATAAAATTGTGCAGACCTTTTTAGATGTTGAAAAATCAAACCTTTCACTTGGCAAAGTAGGTAATTTGTTCTGTTAAACTTGATTTAAATTAAAGAATTGGCTTGGTAGTTGCAGAAAGATAACTTGTGTAGTTGAATAAGTCTATCTTTGTCACTATTGTGTAACTAGTTTTAATTGTCAATGCTACAAAGTTTTTCATTGGTAATGTTTGAATCTCGGTAAAGAAATTGGCAGCATACGAGGTGCATAATCCAGCTTTGGTCTTGGAAAAGTTGTAAAAAATTAGTTTGACTAGAATGAAATTGGAAACTGTAGTGTAGGCTTGTATGGTCCTTGGTCGAGTTGCATCAAAAACCTCTAGATATTTCTTTATCAGAATATTTTAAAGGTTGTAGGCTGTGCCTATTGTAATGTAGCATTGATGAATGTAATGTCTGCCTTATAGGGCCAAACAATTAAGTTTATAATCTAGTATCTAGGCATTGTTAGGAAACGTGTTCACAATTGTATAAATTGTAGAAAGTAAATTGTCAATAATTAAAATCAGTGGTGCACAAAGTTAATGTGCTAAAAGGGTTTAAAAATTGATCATGGTCCACAATCTTGAATGGTAGAATTTGCTAATGTAGCAATTATTTCCAGAAAGTTGATTAAGTGTAGCCATACCTGTTGGAATGGTTAAAAAATTTAATATCTAGATAACCCAAAGCTCTAGGATGTTGTAAGTTTTTTTTATAGTTAAAGGTAAAGAAACTAATTTTGCTAGTTAGAAGAGACTGGCTACTGTAATGATTGAGCCTGTATAGTGGAGAATAGTGTGTACTATATAGTCAATATACTCCATTGTCAATGAAGTACGTAGCTGGATCTTGGGTGAATCAGTGTATGGGGAAAATGGAAATGTGTAACTTGTCCTTATTGGTAATTTGGTAAAAAAAAAAAAAAAAATGAGCTAGTATGTTGCATAATAGAAATGGTTTGTGGTAAAATGTTCATTGCACACAACATAACAGCAGCTGTTAAATGTCAGACTAAGTGGGTGAGATTAGTGGTAAATGAAAGATTGAAGAGTGCATTGTTACTAGATTCTTGCAACTTTTCCTTGCATGGTCAGTAATATAAGATTATATGGTAGTAATTTTGAGGATTTGTATACTTGTGTATTTGGTTTAATTAGGTGTTGAAATGAGCTGTTTCATAAACTTGGTAATGACCTGTTATACTTACAGCAGTTTGAATATTAAAGTAACTAAGTGCATAATTTGTAAGTTTAATAATAGAAATAGTTTTAATAAGTACAAAGTTGTTAATTCAGATTTTTTCACTTGATGGGTGGAGAAGCATAATCTGCAATGACCCCTATAATGTATCAAAATTAAATTTTTGTAGTAGCATATAACTGGGTATGGTCCCTTAAGTTAGTCACTTTAAATAGTGATGAATCGTGGTATGAGACCTGTTGCTGTTGGTTAAAAAATTTTTTGGCCGTTTTGGCATGGGTATTCATGTTCTTGGCACTGTCTTGAGACTAATTGACTAGTTACTGGATTATAATTATGGGTGTCATGGGCAGTTGATAATTTTTGAGTAAAAAGGTGATGCAAGGTTTATTTTCCCTACTTGAATGTAGTTGGTTGTAAGCACTAGTGTGGTGCATGGGATTGAATGATCACTGCTCCACATTGATAAAATAGATTCCTGTTGCATTGAAGTTTGCAAGTTGAATAAATGTTTTGGCAAATATTGGTGTAGTTGTAATGTACAACATTGTTAGAATAAGGATTAACTTGGTGAATGGGTGGTTATATTGCATTTTAATCTTAGTACTTTGTTATAGCAAATGTTTGTATTTGAAGGTAGTTTAAATAAGTTATAAACTACTTATTGGTAATAGTTGGCAACATAAATTTTAAAGTATCAGGCATTGTAGGAAGTCTGTAACAAAATTTATGTATATTGGTATATTTAATGTAGTTTACGTAAGCTATAAGTTGAAAAATAATAATGTTAATCTAACATGTTAGGTTGTCTTTGCCCATATTGTACATAGTCATGGTAAGTCTTCTACATAATGAGGTTTGTGATGGTTTAAGCTCTTTACACGTGGCAACAAGTAATTGGTTAATACATTTAGATCTCTGTATAGTTTTCTATTTCTTAAAATAGAAAATCCCTTCTTTGATCCTAAGAAAGTGCTTGTGATTTAGCATATATCTTGGGTGTAAATTTTTTAACTATCCTTTGTATAAATGTATTCTACTGTACAAATCTCTTGTGTATACTATGAGAACTGTTAGTAATCATTTAAGTGATGAATGGTTAAAATTCCCAGTTATGTTCTGGGGAACGTAGGACAGTTGCCTGAAATGCTACACATGCTAGTGGGTGTAAAAGTAAGAACTGTGACATTTTGTTGCCTTTCATAATTAACTTATGAGCTAAAGCTTGGTTTGCCTGCAATGTTAGAGATGCATAATATTCCCAAAGACTAATGGTATATTGTAGTAACAATATGGGGGGGGGGGGGGAATCCTGACTAGATTTATTGTGAAAAATAATTGTTTGCTACAAAATTTTTGTACTTCAAAGGACTTTGTTCTATAATTTAAATGAAAGATGGTGAGGGGAAGTAGGCAATTTGTTAGTGTAGTTTTAAAAGCAAATAGAAGTTAAAAAAAAAGCTGTGCAAAAAAGTAACACTTTAATGTTCCATTGACAGGTTGTGGAGGGTCCTTCAAAACAACTTCAGGAACAGTGTACAGAAAAATAGCCTAGTGATGCTACAGGAGGTAGCATGTTGTATGTCAGAAATATAGAGGGCAAAAGTAAGTTTACTGATAATTAGTTTGAGTAGTTCTTAAATATATAGGTAAAAATTGTGTAAAATTGTGAAGGGGCCTGGAAATAGGAAAATAAAAGTTCTAGACCTTGAAAAGTGGGTACAAAAATTTAGTTGCAAGAATTGCTTTGACTAGCATAAAGATTTTAATTGGTAAAGTGGGGTGTTTACTCTTAAATAGAATAAAATCTGATGTTGAGGGTATTTATAATTTAAGTGTTAATTGGTTTGCTTTGTGTTCAGTTTGGTTGCCAATTATTTGACAAAGTTTGTTTATAAATTGCACAATCAAGTGATGCATCAAATAAATCCACAAGGGCTGTGAGGGTTCAAATGTCAGATTGCGGATGTACCATAATTGACGCCAAGACAAACTAAAACTTTAACTGGGAGGCCTATTGACCTTACGGCTCCTGCATTCCTGGTTTGGTGTCTTTTGATAATTACTTACTCATGGCTCCTGCAGTAGCTTTGAACCCTCATGGATTTGTTCATCTAAATGTTTAACTTGTGTTCATAACAAAGTAAAAACTAATGATGGTACAGAAATGAAATAGACTAGTAAGTGTACTACATATCTATATAAATAAATGTAAATGTTCGTTTGTTCAAAATTGCTAATCTCTGAAAGTTCTTCACTAATTGCTTTGAAATGTTCACAATGTTCCATTCGCATCCGAGCAGGTTTTTATATAATATTATATTGATGTCACGTCTGTGACGGAAACTTTGTTTAAATTGTTTTTCCATGTGATTTTGAGAAATCTTCGAAACTTCTTTAACAATTACTTTGAAGTTTTGACACGATGTTGCATTCGAATAGGCATGGTTTCTATATACATGCCTTACCTGTGACTAGAGGAATATTTTTTTTTAACATTGCCATCTGTTGGATGCAAGAGCCACACACTGTAATCTCCCTAAGTTCTTCACAGATTGCTTTGAAACTGACACAACGTTCCATTCAAATATGCGTATTTTTTCATATACCTACTATATAGATGCCACCCTTGTGACAGGTAAAAAAAATATGCATTTTTGAAAAGGCACCATCTGTTGCACATCATGCTAGCTATACTATAATGTCAAATTCCATTTCAATGTTTCAGATTGCATTGATAAAATATATTTTCAAAGATTTAGATTTTTAATTTAAGTGTTTTGTGACTGTTGAGATAGAGCTGTTTACCGTACCATTCATTTTGTAGGTATAAATATAGATGCCACACCTGTTAAAACTATGCCTTGAACAAATCATGTTCTAAGCAGGAACTATGCTTTTCTTGAAAAACGGTGCCATCTCTTAAATATAAGAAACGCATGCTATACTAAATGTTACAATTCCATTTCAATATATCTGATTGCATTGATAAATTGAATGTTCATAAATTTAGATTTTTAATTTTGCTTTTTGTGAATTGCATTAAATGAGCCGTGTTTACCATACTGTTCATTTCGTGAGTATACTTTATTTTTGTTTTTATCTTTAACTTTTTCTTATTTTGGTGATGAACATCAGATCGCTTGATGTTCCAAATTTTCTGATCGGGAAAATCACAAAATATGGGAAGGCATCGGACGAGGGAGTTGAATGGTGGGGATAGCGAGGGGACGGAAGTTTGAGAAGGGGGAGGACAAAGGGGAGGGGGTAATGGTGGAAGGATGAGGATAGGGAAATGGAGAATGGTGGGAGGACAAAGGGATGAGTGGGAATGGTTGGGAGACAGACGATGAGGGGGAAGACTGGGGGACAGAAGGTTGCTGTGGCTCGGCAATGCACATGCGTTGCCGAGCCACAGCAACGCGTGGCTGGGTTCTGCTAGTTTTAATTTAAAAATTGAAGTTTAAATAGGTATTTTTCTTTCAGAATATGGATTGGAAGTCCAGAACTTCATCCTAGACTTTGAGGGTGTTGATTGTTTGACATTCAGAATCAGGTAAGTGGTAAATATTATTTAAACATGTTTGCATTGTATTAAATATTAAACTCTAGCATTATGGCTAAAGATAATGAAAATGATGGTTGCATGTAGATAATGTAAAGTCAAAATTGCCAAGAGTCTGAAGTATCTTTCGCCACTTTAATGTACTCGTGACTACTCAAACAATGTTTAATAGATTCTAATTTGTGCTTGATTAGCATTAGCGAGAATCTTACAATATTAACATTTTGGTAGATTTTAAAAAACATTATCCATTGTAAATTTGCAAAGCAACTTGCATAAGCTCAATACAGAATTTATAAGCCAATTTGGTTAAATGTTTCAGGTTCTAATGAAGATTACAATGGTATCGAAGCAGTGACTGGCTAAAGTGTGGCCGTTTCTAATCTGCACATCTATGAAGCTGGTAAGTTGACTTGCATGTTAGCTATATAAATTGTAGTACAAATATGGGGGGGGGGAATCCTAACTATAAGTTTTATTTGAAAATAAAATGTTTGTAGCTTTTAATTTTTACTTAAAAGGGGTTTGTTCTGTAACTTGTAAAAGAATGAAAGATGGGGTAGGGGGGGGAAGTAGCTTATTAATGTAGTCTTAAAAAGGTGAATATTTAAGTTTAGGAACAAAATGCTGTGCCAAAAAATTTAATAACCATATTTAATGTTCCATTGACAGGTTGTGGAGGGTCCTTTGAACATCATGAACTGTGTACAAAGAAATAGCTGAAAGTAGCATGGTTTTGTCAGAATTAGAGGGCAAAGTAAGTTTATTGATAATTAGTTTAATAGCTAGTCTTTAAATATTTAAATTATGTAATAAAATTGTGAAGGGGCCTGTAAATGGGAGGGGGGAAACTAGTTATAGGCCTTGACAAGTGGGTACAATATCAGTTTAGTTGTTGCAGGAATTGCTTTGAATAGCATAAAAATTTGTTAAATTTTCAATAGAATCTGAAGTTGAGGTTTTTTTAATAAATATCTATAGAAATGTAAATTAGTTTGCTTAATTTTCAGTGTTCCGTTAATTGTTTGGCTAAGTTTGTTTCGTCTATAAATTTCACAATAGTGTGATGCATTGAATGAACAAATCTTAAAGGGCTGTGATGAGGGTTAGAATGTGTCAGAGGATTGCAGATGCACCTTAATTGACTGTGCCATGATATGGTAAAAGAATTGCAACTGGGAGGTCTGACCTCATGGCTCAAGGTTTGAACACTCGTAGATTTATTCATCTAAATGTTTGTAACTTAAAGATTTCATAATTGAAAGTAAAAAAAGTTCCACAACACAAAATAAATAACTGGTAACTGTAATTCATTTTTGTAATATAATTAAAGTTTAAATAGGCTTTTTCTTTCAGACTATAGATTAGAAAGTCCAGAAAGAAATCGTAGAGTTCAAAGGTGTTGATTGTTAAACATTCAGAATTGGGCAAGTTGTAGTAATTTAAAGATTTGCATTATATTAAATAAAGTTAAACAATCTAGCATTATGGCTGAAGATAATCTGAATGATGGTTGCATATAGATAATGTAAATTAAAATGAGTCTGAAGTATCTTTCTCCACTTAAATGTACTTGACAAACTTAGCTTGAGTAGCCATATCTACTTGTTTATTTGCTTGATTAGCATTAATAAGAATCTTACAATATTAAAATTGTAGCAGATTTTAAAGGAACACTACCGTTGTGAATTTGCAAAGAAACTTGAGTAAAAAGCTGGATTTATAAGCTAATTTGGTTAAATGCTTCAGGTACTTTGCTAGATTACAATGGTATCAAAGCGAGTGGCTAAGTGTGGCTGTTCTACTATGCACATCTATGAAGCTGGTATGTTGAATTACATGTTTTAGCTATATAAATTGTAGTACCAATATTGGGGGGAAATCTTAACTTTAAATTATAATTGAAAATAAGATTTCAGTAGGCTAAGTTTTTAATTGTTACTTAAAAGGGTTTTGTTCTAGAATCGATAAATGAAATATGGGGCGGGGGAAGTAGGTAATTTATTAGTCTTTTGAAAGGCAAACATTTAAGTTTAAACATTGCTGTGGGGAAAAAATTTATTAACCATATTAAATGTTTCATTGACAGGTTGTGGAGGGTCCTTGTATGCTACAGAAAGTAGCACAGGGGCTGGCCAGCTGAGCAGACAGCACACTGGAGATGTGGTCCCAGGTTGAATCCTGGGTGCTGGCAAGAAATGCTGGGCTGAGTTTTTCACCCTATGCCCCTGTGAGTTAGTCAGCTGTAATGGGCTGCTTCTGGGGGGTGCACTAAAGGCCTGAAATTGCCAAGATACTTTTGGCCTCTATCATTCTGACAAACGGTTAAATTTACTGCTATAATTAGTTTAATGAGTATTTAAATATTTAGGTAAATGTAAAGGGGCCTGGAAATGGGGGGGGGGGGGATAGAAACTGTAGTTCTAGGCCTTGACAAGTGGGTACAATAAAAGTTTAGTCCTTGCATGAATTGTTTTGAATAGCATAAAGAAATTTTAAAATGGTAACTTCACATTTTATTCCATTTAAGAATTGAGGGTATTTAGAAATATTTATTTAAATGGTAATTGGTTTGCTTAACTTTGTTCAGTTTTTAAATATTTTGCTAAATTTTTCCATCTATAAATTGCACACACTAGTGTGATGCATCAAATGACCAAATTGACAAGGGCTGTGATGAGGGTTCAAATGTCAGAAGATTGCAGATGTACCATGACATTGTAAAAAAATTGCAACAGGGAGGTAAATTGACCATGGATTTTTTCATAATTAAAAGTTAATGGTACAAGAGACAAATTAAATATTGACTAGTAACTGTACCTCATATTTTTGAATGTAACTAAAGTTTAAATAGGCTTTTTCTTTCAGAATAAGAATTGGGAAGTTCAGCTCTTCATCCTAGAGTTTGAAGGTGTTGACATTCAGAATGGGGTGAGTGTTGGTGAATATTTTAAATAGAAAAATAAGGCATCAGTGGTTGCATGTAGATAATGTAAAGTAAAAATTATCTTTCTCTACTTTAAAGTACTTGTTAAACTTAAATAGTTTGAGTAGCCATATCTAAATCTTTTGTATTCTACTGTACAAATCTCTTGTGTATACTATGAGAACTGTTAGTAATCATTTAAGTGATGAATGGTTAAAATTCCTGTGTTCTGGGGAACGTAGGCCAGTTGCCTGAAATGCTACACATGCTAGTGGGTGTAAAAGAATGTAAGAACTGACATTTTGTTGCCTTTTATAGTTAACTGTTGAGAGCTAAAGCTTAGTTTGCCTGCAATGTTAGAGATGCATAATATTCCCAAAGACTAATGGTATATTGTAGTAACAATATGGGGGATTTGGAGGGAGGGGGGGGGGATGAATCCTGACTAGATTTAATTTGAAAATTAAATGTTTGCTACAAAAATTGTGTACTTCAAAGGACTTTGTTCTATATTTTAAATGACTGAAAGATGATGGGGGGAAGTAGGCAATTTGTTAGTGTAGTTTTAAAATAGCAAATAGAATTTAAAAAAAAGAAATGCTGTGCAAAAAGTAACAACCTTTAATGTTCCATTGACAGGGTCCTTTGACATTGTGGAGGGTCCTTTGAAACGACTTCAGGCACAGCATACAGAACAATTGCCTAAAGTGATATGCTACAGGAAGTAGCATGTTGTATGTCAGAATTATAGAGGGCATAAGTAAGTTTACTGATAATTAGTTTAACAAGTAGTTCTTAAATATTTAGGTAAAAATTGTGTAATAAAATTGTGAAGGGGCCTGGAAATAGGAAAATAAGTTCTAGGCCTTGACAAGTGGGTACAAAAATTTGGTTACAAGAATTGCTTTGAATAGCATAAAAAGGATTTTAATTTGTAAAGTGGGGTGTTTACTCTTAAATAGAATAAAATCTGATGTTGAGGGTATTTATAATTTAAGTGTTAATTGGTTTGCTTTGTGTTCAGTTTCCAATTATTTGACTAGAAGTTTGTTTCATCTATAAATTGCACAATTAAAAGTGATGCATCAAATAAATCCACAAGGGCTGTGAGGGTTCAAATGTCAGATTGTGGATGTACCATAATTGACTGCCATGACAAACTAATACTTTAACTGGGAGGCCTACTGACCTTATGGCTCCTGCATTCCTGGTTTGGTGCCTTTTGATAATTACTTAATCATGGCTCCTGCAGTAGGTTTGAACCCTCATGGATTTGTTCATCTAAATGTTTAACTTTCATAACTGAAAGTAAAAACTAATGATGGTACAGAAATGAAATAGACTAGTAACTGTACTTCATATCTATATAAATAAAAATGTAAATGTTCGTTCGTTTGTTCAAAGTCGCTAATCTCCGAAAGTTCTTCACTGATTGCTTTGAAATTTTCAATGTTCCATTTGCATCAGAGCAGGATTTTATACATATTATATTGATGTCACGTCTGTGACAAACTTTTTTAAATTGTTTTTCCATGTGATTTTGAGAAATCTTTGAAACTTCTTTGCCAATTACTTAGAGGTTTTGACACGATGTTGCATTCAAATAGGTGTTTCTATATACATGCCTTACCTGTGACTAGAGGAATTTTTTTATTTTTTTGTTTTTTTTTAACATTGCCATCTGTTGGATGTAAGAGCCACACACTGTAATCTCCCTAAGTTCTTCACCGATTGCTTTGAAACTGACACAACGTTCCATTCGAATATGCGTATCTTTTCGTATACCTACTATATAGATGCCACCCCTGTGACAGGTTAAAAAAAATATGCATTTTTGAAAAAGGGCACCATCTGTTGCACGTATCAACATGCTAACTATATTGTCAAATTCCATTTCAATTTTTCAGATTGCATTGATATAATTAAATAAATCTAAATCTTTGAAAATAAATTTTAAGTGTTTTGTGACATTGTGGAGATAGAGCTGTTTACCATACCAATCATTTTGTAGGTATAAATAGATGCCACACCTGTTATAGGTAAAACTATGCTTTGAACAAATCCTGTTCTAAGCAGAAACTATGCTTTTCTTGAAAAAGTGCCATCTGTTGAATGTAAGAGAAACATGTGCTATACTAGATGTTACAATTCGATTTAAATGATAAATTGAATTTTCATAAATTTAGATTATTAATTTTGCTTTATTTTGTGAATTGCATTAGAAATGAGCCGTGTTTACCATACTGTTTATTTCGTGAGTACTTTATTTTTGTTACTTTTCATTTCATTTTTAACTTATATTTTTGATGAACATCACATCACTTGATGTTCCAAGTTTTCTGATCAGGAAAATCACACAATATGGGAAGGCATTGGATGAGGGAGGACAAAGGGAAGAGGGAGGGGGTAATGGTGGAAGGATGAGGGGATAGGGAAATGGAGAATGGTTGGAAGACAGAAGAGAGGATGAGGGGGGGGAAGACTGGGGGACAGAAGGTTGCTGTGGCCAGGTTCTGCTAGTTTGTTAAAAAAAATTGAAGTTTAAATAGGCTTTTTCTTTCAGAATATGGATTGGAAGTCCAGAACTTCATCCTAGACTTTGAAGGTGTTGATTGTTTGACATTCAGAATCAGGCAAGTGGTAAATATTATTTAAAAATGTTTGCATTGTATTAAAAATTAGTTTTAAACACTCTAGCATTATGGCTAAAGATCATGTAAATGATGGCTGCATGTGGATGTAAAGTCAAAATTGCCACAAGTGTGAAGTATCTTTCTCCACTTTAATGTACTCATAACTACTCAAACTATTTGTTTAATACAGAATATAATTTTTGTGCTTGATTAGCATTAGTGAGAATCTTACACTATTAACATTTTGGTAGATTTTAAAGGAACATTATCCAATTTAAATTTGCAAAGCAACTTGCATAAGCTCAATACAGAATTTAAAAGCCAAATTGGTTAAATGTTTCAGGTTCTAATGAAGATTACAATGGTATCAAAGCAGTGACTGGCTAAAGTGTGGCTGTTCTAATGTGCACATCTATGAAGCTGGTAAGTTGACTTGCATGTTGGCTATATAAATAGTAGTACAAATATGGGGGGGAATCCTAACTATAAATTTTATTTGAAAAAATTTTTGTAGCTTTTAATTTTTACTTAAAAGGGGTTTGTTCTGTAACTTATAAAAGATGGGGTAGGGGGGGGGGGGAAGTAGCTTATTTATTAATGTAGTCTTAATGTGAATATTTAAGTTTAAAATCAAATTGCTGTGCCCAAAAAATTTAATAACCATATTTAATGTTCCATTGACAGGTTGTGGAGGGTCCTTCCAACATAACTTCAGGAACTGTGTACAAAGCAATTGCTGAAAGTAGCATGGTTGTCCGAATTAGAGGGCAAAAGTAAGTTTATTGATAGCTAGTTTAATAGCTAGTTTTTAAATATTGAAGTAAAAATTATGTAATAATATTGTGAAGGGGCCTGTAAATGGAGAAAATAAAAACTAGTTCTAGGCCTTGACAAGTGGGTACAATATCAGTGTAGTTGTTGCAGGAATTGCTCTGAATAGCATAAAAATTTTAATTAGAATATTTAAAATTATTTATATTTAGTCTGCTTAACTTTCAGTGTTCAGTTAATTGTTTGGGTAAAAATTTGAAATTTATAGATGAAACGGTGTGATGCATCAAATGAGCAAATGTAAAAGGGCTGAGAGGGTTAGGATGTTGGAGGATTGCAGATGCACCTTAATCGACTGTGCCATGATATGGTAAAAGAATTGCAACTGGGAGGTCTACTGAGCTCATGGCTTGGTTTGAACCCTCATGGATTTTGTTCATATAAATGTTTGTAACAATTTCATAATTGAAAGTAAAAAAGTTACAACACAAATAACTGGTAACTGTACTTCATCTAATTGTAACATATAATTGAAGTTTAAATATGCTTTTTCTTTCAGACTATAGAATAGGAAGTCCAGAACAACATCCTAGAGTTTGAAGATGGTGTTTGCTCGACATTCAGAATCGGGCGAGTGTGGTAGTAATAATAAATTAGATTTGCGTTATATATTAAATAGTAAAGTTAAACAATGTAGCATTATGTCTAAAGTATCTTTCTCCACTTAAATAGCCATATCTACCTTTTTAATTGCTTGATTAGCATTAATAAAATTTAAAATTTTAGCCAATTTTAAAGGAACACTACAATTGTGAATTTGCAAAGAAACTAGAGTAAAAAGCTGTATTTATAAGCTAATTTGGTTAAATGTTTCAGGTACTTTGCAAGATTACAATGGTATCAAAGCAGCGAGTGGCTGTTCTACTCGGCACATCTATGAAGCTGGTATGTTGAATTACATGTTTTAGCTATATAAATTGTATTACCAATATGGGGATGCAGGGGTGGGGGGAATCTTAACTTTAAATTATAATTGAAAATAAGATTTCAGTATTACTTTTTAAATTGTTACTAAAAGGGCTTTTTTCTAGAATCAATAAATGAAAGATGGGGTGGGGGAAGTAGGTAATTAGTGTATTTTGAAAAAGGCAAATATATAAGTTTAAACATTGCTGTGGGGAAAAATGTTATTAACCATATTAAATGTTTCATTGACAGGTTGTGGAGGGTGCTTCCAACATAACTTCAGGAACAGTGTACAGAACAATTGGTGGAACTTGTATGCTACAGAAAGTAGCACAGGGGCTGGCCAGCTGAGCAGACAGCACACTGGAGATGTGATCCTGTGGTCCCAGGTTGAATCCTGGGCCGAGTTTTTCACCCTATGCCCCTGTGAGTTAGTCAGCTGTAATGGGCTGCTTTGTGGGGGGGACTAAAGGCCTGAAATTGCCAAGATACTTTTGCCCTCTATCATTCCGACAGTTAAGAGTACTGCTATAATTAGTGAAGGGGCCTGGAAATGAGGGATAAAAAGTGTAGTTCTAGGCCTTGACAAGTTTGTACAATAAAAGTTTAGTCCTTGCAGGAATTGTTTTGAATAGCAAAGAAATTTTAAAATGGTAATGTTACATTTTATTCATTTTAAGAATTGAGGGTATTTAGAAGGTAATTGGTTTGCTTAACTTTGTTCAGTTACTTGGTTCTAAAATAATTGGTTAAAAGTTTTTCCATCTATAAATTGCACACAATAGTGTGATGCATCAAATGACCAAATCCACAAGGGCTGTGATGAGGGTTCAAATGTTCCATGACACTGTAAAAAAAATTGCAACAGGGAGGTAAATTGACTTCATGGATTTGTTCATAATTAAAAGTTAAAAAAAAATAATGGTATAAGAGACAAATTAAATATTGACTAGTAACTGTACTTCATATTTTTTTAATGTAACTAGTTTAAATATGCTTTTTCTTTCAGAATAAGAATTGGGAAGTCCAGCTGTTCATCCTAGAGTTTGAAGGTGTTGATTGCTTGACATTTGGAATGGGGTGAGTGTTGGTGAATATTTTAAATAGAAAAATAAGGCATCAGTGGTTGCATGTAGATAATGTAAAGTAAAAATTTTCTCTACTTTAAAGTACTTGTTAAACTTAAATAGTTTGAGTAGCCATATCTAAGTCTTGTGCTTGATTAGCATTAGTGAGAATAAAATGTTAAGGCACATTAGCCATTTGAGTTTGCAAAGCAACTTTTAATACAAAATTTATAAGCTAATTTGGTTGAATGTTTCAGGTGGTAATGGAGATTATGATTATCAAGGAATTGACTGGCTTAAGAAGTGTGGCTGTTCTACTCTGCACATCCAATAAACTGGTATGTTGAATTAAATGTTTTAGCTATATCAAATAATTAACTTGCTTTCTTTTTTATCTAGTCCATTTATAGATGTGTACCAAAGTCCTACTGTTACCACCGGCAGGGATTGATGCAGTTTGTACTGATCCTACCCCATTTCATAGAAGGGGACCAGGCAGTCCTGCAGATTTCCCTGGCTTGGCTTTTTCAGAGCCCTGCTCTACTACCCATCCAGTAGATGGACTAGATTTGCATAGGTGTAGGGACCCTTAACAATGTGCAAACATTGTTAATAACTACAGGGCTTGTTCACTGAAAGAGTGGATACATCCAGAGGTTTAGTGCCTGGAACATGATGTACATAGGCTTTACAACAAGCCTATGTACATCATGTTGAGGGCACTAAACCAAAAGATGTGTTCCACTCTTTCAGCCAACAAGTCCTGCCTCAAAATGCAAGTAAGGGGTAGGCCTTGCTGAGCCAATCTTAAAAGATTGGGACTTAGGGGTTTTGGTAGTAATTTTTATGTGTTAGTGTTAATAAAATGAGTGTCCCTGTTTGATATACTTTATTTTTCTTTTACAGGTGGTTGTTGTCCTTGGTGCTCTGGATGTTTTCCTGGCCTTTGAAGTTGTTTGGAGTCTTCAGTTGAAACCTCAACCTGAAACATAAAATTGTCAATATTAGTTATATTGTATACTATTTAATAAATCTTTTAATGAAAATACTTTATATACTTTATCCTGAAAGTATCTAATTTAATCATGCTGGAAATTAATTACAAAAAATATCTAAAAAAAAAAAAAACTTGCTATAAAAGTTTATATAAAACTATAATAAACAAATTATGAAGGTATAATACAAAATATATAAAGCTAATATAAACTTAAGTGTTAATTATATAAAGCTATAATAAGTATAACTAAGTTATAATATAAACTTGTTAAAGTTTATATTATAACTTTGTTATATATACTTATATTATAGCTTTATATAATTAACAAAGTTTATATTATTATAACTTTAACAAGTTTATATTATAACTTAATTATATATAGCTATAAGTATAACTAACAAACTTATAAACTTAAAGGTAAAATATAAAGCTAATAAAAACTTAAGTTTAAAAGTTATATATAAAAAGGTAATATTATACCTTTAAGCAACATTATATTTTATAAGTGAAAACTAATTTTGACAACTATACAAATGAGTCTAGTTTGGTATGCAAAGCTTTTAAGTTATCAGGTTAAACTGCAAAAGATAAATTTTATGCATTATTTTAAGATTAAATTAACTATACATTTGTTTTAAAAGTGAAATTTGTTAGACTAAAGTTAAAGCTATGGAACATTGATTAGTGGAAATGATGTAAAAATTTACATCAATGATAAGATTACACTAAATTAGCTAAATTTTTTTTCCCACAAGTGTTTTACTAAATGCCACAACTTGATAGGAAACATAAGTGTTTCCTAACAATATTGTCTAATGGTACCAAACCCTTCAATTTTCTATGAGTAAGAAGAAAAGAAACAAAACCATTAGACATGTCCAATCTGTTAGTATAATGCTGCACTGAAGTGTCCTACCAAATATTAATGAACACTAAATTATTCACACCAGACATCCCATTACCACAAATGTTTCAAACTGCTGAAGATAACTATTTCAAGATAGTGTATATATAAACTATGCCTATAACAAGCACCATAAATGGGAAGAGCCTTACAAACTAACATTCAAAAAACTTCAAATACCTGGAATTCAATCAAAGCTATTAAATGAATTGACAGCCAAACTTACTGCCACTTAAACTCGCTAGATAGATTTCAAATGTTACTCAAGTTTTTGAAAATGCCAAGCAGAAAACTTTCAAATTACTTTGACCTCACATCTGCAAGGTCCTGAAGGGAAGAAACATTAATAATCTTGTAAAATCAACAAAACATTGGTTTGTTAAAAACAAACCTGTTCACAATTTTTTTCTGATAACCAGCTATTCAAACACACACACTGTGTTTGATAAAGCACCATATCAAAGGCTAGGAGTGAAATATGAAGCACATGGAATAAAGGATAAAAAGATTGCTTAATTAAAACAAATAAATTAAAGCTTCCTCTGAAACAGATTTGACTGCAAAATACGGCATGAAGCGTACCACAAGGGTCTAAACCTTATATACCTCAATGACAAATCAAATTATTACAACCCACATCAATTTTGCAGACGACACCAAGATTTATGGTACAGAGAACATGAAAAAATGATATCGAGCCCTTACAAAGATCTACGGCAACTCTAAAGAGAGTTACAAGACTGGCAAATTCTTATTATTATATACAGTATTTAACATTGCAAAACCTTACAGGTGAGCCACAACAATCCATATCACAACTACCACATTAAAATGAAAAAGAACAATGAAATAAAGGACCTTTGAGCCAGATTCCGTCATTAACCAAAAGTGGCTCCAGTAAACAAAAACCCTAGAATTAATCAAGCTACCTTTTGACTTTAATGAAAAGAAGGTAGTTATTCTAATGTCCAAACATTTATACACCAGATATCTATAATCACTTAGATAATTGAAGCCAAGCATGGAGACCCCCACCTTTACAAAAACACATCTACTTTCAAACAACTTCAACACTGGCCAACAAAAATATTTCTAAAACTAAGTCAACTAATAACAGGAACAACCGAGGGCCACAACAAACACTCCAACTCTCTCCTACCCCAAAGTCTTAAGCTACTAATGATCCAAATTATTTTGATATGCTTCCTACAGACGAGTCCAGTAATAGGACGATCTGGCGAGTAAACTGAAGCACGATACAGGTGCCAACGGACATCAGTCAGCCCACTTGTCACCACAGGGGATAAACTAATAACATTAAAAAACAGCAGGAAGCTCTCAGCAAAATGACTGCATGTATCAGTACATTATCAGCACAACGTTCCGTCTCCCAGGAAGAACAAGACCAGCAAAAGCTGCTACACTCTGTTATTGTGTCGTCCCAAGATATGCCTGTGGAATGTGAAGGTGAAAAGTGTGTCGAAATAGCTCAGGCTCTCATAAAAAACAAATTGCAGGTCATTGTAAACAAAACTGACGTTATTGCTGCCTACAGAGTAGGCAAAAAGAATCCATCAGGTCAAAACCAGCGGAAAATTGGCCTGAAGCTGACTTCCCAGTTCATGAAATCCCATCTTGTCCGGACAGCTGCATCCCAACGGAAGGGATTATACATCAACGAGTGCTTGACTAGGAACAGACAGCAACTCCTCTACCGCCTGCGTCAAATCCGTCAACAAAACCCAGATGCGATTCATCAGTGCTTCGTTAGAGATGGACTGATAAAAGTGAGAAAAACCGCAGAGGGCAAAATGTTTACAATTGCTAATGAAGAGAACCTCAACACTTTCCTCTTCCAATGTGGTTTGTCTCACCTTATTATCACTCTCAATGAATTAACTTAATTAACCCCATTGTCAACTAGTGGGGCTAGGTATCCTAAGTCTCCTTGTTTCATTTTTTGACTTAATTTTTAACTTACTCTTAACTAGTCATTTACTGAACTTATTTAACTGAGTGCATTAATAGTTCTTCAGGTCTTATTAATTATACAGTCATAACTGAACTATTTATAGTTAGTAATCATTAGCATAAATTTGCCTATGTTTATTATTCAACTTTTTCTTTGATTTCATTTATTACCTAGGTTGCCTAGCCTCGCCATGCTCCCTTACTCCATTGTACCCCTGGCTTTGCCTGTATCTCAAATTGCAAATTGTTACTTACAGTGTACCTGAGAGTACTTGTAAGCAATCTACCTCATTTTTTCTTTTTTTGCTCAATTTGTTTTTGTATTGTTTAGTCTTGTTTATATCTTTGTTTTGTATTTCTATATCTTTTCTTTTCTATAGTCCATGTTTATATGTTTTTACTTTAATCTCATTTATTACCTAGGTTGCCTAGCCTCGCCATACTCCCTTACTCCATTGTACCCCTGTAAGCCCCTTGTAAGCTACCTCATTTTTTTCTTTTGTTGTTCATTTTGTGTTTGTTTTGTACAGTATTGTTTACATATTTTTCCCCTTTTATAGCTTAATTCTACCTTGTAACTTGCCTTTCTTGCATTGTTTTCCTGCAATCAGCTTTTTTATGCAGACAAGTATAGACCCAGAACTAAACCTCTTATCCACTATCTATGACAATCATCACTTTAATGATCTAAATTGCAGATATTTTGCATCACATGATGTAAACAATGTATTAACTCATAATCACAATATCTCTGTAATCAACTTGAACGTTAGATCCCTAGGTAAACACTTCGATGATGTTAGTGCCTCGATTGAAACTATTGACAACAAATTCTCTTTTATTATACTTACTGAAACATGGATGAAAGAGGATACTACTCAACTCTTTAACATGCCCAACTACTCGGCAATTCACAACTGTCGTCAACTTCAGAGAGGTGGTGGCACTGCTCTTTACTACCACCAAGAACTAACATGCTTAAAAGAAATTAGAACCAGAGACTGCTATGGGGAGTATATCTTCGCCAGCTTCAGAGTCAAGGGTGCCGAGTCTGTCCTGTCTGTGGGTGCAGTCTATAGAATTTCTAACACTGATGTGTCCGAATTCAACTCAAACCTTAGAAATCTAATACTTGATAACAGACTGAACAAAAACCATCTAATTATCGCAGGGGACTTTAATATTGACCTCTGCGAGCCTGAACACCCTACTGCTGTTAGCTTCCTCAACTGTATGAATTCCTGCTTCCTCATACCTTTAATCACTAGACCTACTACAATCACTGATAGTACTGCTACGACTCTAGATCACATCTGGACAAACATAACCTCTCCGCTTACTTCAGGTATAATCACCGATAGCACTACAGACCATTACCCTACATTTCTCTTAACTAACATTAGCAAACCACCACTAGAGTCAACAGAGTTCAGTTTTAGACTGCACAATGAAACTGCTATATACAATTTTATAACTCCTGCTGATAATGTCAACTGGGAGTCCGAGTTAGGTAACATAGTGGACATCAACCTAGCAGTGCAATCTTTTCTTCAAAAAACTCTTAGCCTTTATAACACCCACTGTCCTATGCTTACAAAACAAGTCACAACCAAAAGGCTTAACAATCCCTGGCTTACAAAGGGAATACTTAAATCCATTAATAAAAAACATGACCTTGAGAAGAAGTATAGGTTAGGAATTGTCTCCAAAGAATTCTTAAAGAATTACTCATTATTGCTGTCTAAGATAATTAGACGAGCCAAAACTAAATTCTACGAAGATAAATTTACCCAAATAAAGAGCAACATTAAACAAACTTGGAGCACAATTTCACAAATATTGGGATCAAAGAAGTCTTTAAATAACAAACCAACACTCCTGTCCAATAACGATGGTCAGCTTTCAGCCTCTGATTCTGCTACTGAGTTCAATAGGTTCTTCTCTTCCATTGGGTCATCACTTGCAAATGATATTCCATCTTCCAGTACTGACATTAAGGACTATCTTACAGGTAACTATCCACAGTCTCTGTACCTAAAGCCTATTAATTCCACTGATGTCAATGAGATAATCCTTTCCCTTAAAACCAAGTCTAGTGCCCTTGAGGAGATACCAACTTTAATTTACAAAAAAGCCTCCAGATCTTTAGCCCCTGCTATTGCTTTGCTCTTCAA